TGTCAGAAGACTCCTGCTACCGTCAAATGCCCGCATTCTTGCAAGGTAGTTACGGAATACGTCATGAACTTGCATATAGATAAAGTGTGAGAGCGGATCGAAGTGTAATGATAAAAACTTCTTTCTGAAGATCTCAAATCGGAGACAACGAGCGGCGCGCGGCACTTTTTTTTCCCCTTTTCTGTCACCTCCTAAGGTTTATTCGTTCACTTATTGTTTGTTCAAGATTAAAGCTAGTTATATTTTGTGCACCAATCAGGACTAGACATTCTATTTAGACAAGAGTAGCTGCCTCGTCCCTGTACGGTGCTTTACCAGGCCTTCTCAGTGATGTATCGGAGTCGAAAAAACTCGTTCGTATCACGTGACCCTAAACACATAGGCCGGGTGGCGTAGGGAGTAGTACTGGCTGCTGAAGAAATCTTTGTTTTTGACCTTCAATATATGATTTATTATCCTGTGGAGTTTCTTCCAGTAATTAACGTTTTATGCTTGAACGGATCTAATATACCTTTCAACTCCTGAAATCACGGGTACGCCTTTCGGGTGAAGCGCCTCCGTGTTATAGGGATAACTCCCCGGGCATGAATTCGTATGGAAGGTTATAAATCCCCTGTGCCTTTGCGTTCTGCAGCTGGACAACGACAGAAGAGCACTTGTACTAAGAAGTATTGTTTTGAATGTCAGTCCATTTAACAAAATTAAACGACAATTTGTCATTGTCTATTTACTACTTAGACGACAAGTTCACATTTTCTATGAGACAACAGATGTTCATGAGCTCTAGCTCAGCGCGTTGCGCTGAGTTGACTATTAATTTTGACTCTTTAGCTTAGAAACGAGAAGAAGTAGACTAGTCGAACGTCTTATTGTAGGTTTAGTGGAAGACAAACGGTATACTTTCTTCGATCCCATATCAATTTAACAAAGATTTAGGGATTTAGGGGTTAACCGAGGGGACCGCATGGCCACGTCTTTTTTTCTGAAATTTCGTATCATTTTAAAAGAATTCTCAGTAAAATAAAGTTTACTTGATTAGGATCCAGGAAATCGTGGTTTTTCTTCTTGTTACTATTTAAAATGGTTATTCTGTATTTTTGGCAATTTTTAGCTTTTTGTTTCTAGGTGGGATGGCATCATTACTTCATTCACCTTCTTCCTCCTCAGAAACTTTGCATAGACGAATTTGTCAAAGAAGTTACCATTACTTTGCTTTTCATCAAAACGGTGACTTGGCTCAGCCTAAACCCCTGGATAAAATATCCCAAGATTATAAACAGTGATTTTTTCTAGCCTTTTCACCACTCCAAAATATCGTCATCATTCTTTTACGGCCTGTTTTGAGCAAAACAAGAAAACGAAAAAAAATTTAATAATAATAATAAAGGTTGTCAAGAAATCATAGGCTTAATCCTCTTTGGAAAAAATCCAAAGATAACCGCCACACATCGAAATGTTGTGGTGTAATGTCACCGCATCGAAAAAAACATTAAATACATTTTCTTTTCATTTTAATTTCTTGTTTTTACTGCGCGTTTACTGCGCGCAGAATGGCGTGCACTAATAAATCCGTGTTCTCCTACACCAATATAAAAAATCCAAGTAAAATATCTTCATGTAACATGTAACTATGTGTCACTCAACATAACTACGCATCACTATCCATCACAACACACCACTACCCATTACTACCTATCACTGTCCATCACTACATATCACTACATTTAAGCAATAGAAAACGTTTTCCGTGTTTGCATAGCCTGATATAAACACGAGAGGGGTGGGAGAATTCGAGACAGTTATGCAAACCCGAGACGAAGTCGAGGGTTTGCATGACCGTCGAGAATTCTCCCAACGCCTCGAGTGTTTATATCAGGCTATGCAAACACAGGAAAACGCTTTCTATTGCTTTTATAAGATAACTTTCACGAGAAAAAACGCAAAACTGTTTGTATGGCAATGATTAAAAGAGAAATTCTTCCCAGTCGCAAAATCTTGTCCACGAAGTCTTGCATGCGTAATCAGTTCTTGTTTTGCAAAAAGATGCTTTCCAAAATACGGATTTTTCTCGCAGAAAATGTCAGCTTAAGCGAAAAAAAAATGACACACCTTCTTTGTAACGATTTTCCAAGTTTCAGTCGACGAAGGAATGAGTAAATAAAGTCAAAACTTGTCGAGTTTTGAACTTGAAAACTTTTTCAAATTTGTGCTTGCGTGATTAGCGCGCGAAAAGCAAAACATCTTGACGCCACAACCATGTTTACATACTCTCATGCAAACACTCCTCTCGGCCAATCAGAGCGGGCGTACTATCTTAGTTATTTTATAAATGACTACAGGTCACTACTCATCACTGTCCATCACTACACATCACTGCCCATTACTATCCATCACTACACATCACTAAACATGATTTCTATCGTTTTGCAGCGATTCAGCCGCGACTAACCAGTGTTTGTTTGTGTTTTTGCCAAAAAGTTCCCCGCTTTAGCCTCGCAATCATGCTGTGAAGTCTCTCGTCCCAGGGCCGTCAGGGAATACGTTTATCGTCTATTGTCTGTAACAAACTGCGAGAGACAACTGAGCCCGCCTTCATTTTTACCTGATTGCATACCATAATACTCTTTGCTTGTCACCCCCAAATTTTGCATAAGCACTGTCTTCAGTTCCTCTTGTGAGTTAAAATGGCCCCAAGAGAAACTGAAAACAATGCTTGTGCGAAATTTGGGAGTGACGAACAAAGAACATTATGGTATGTCATGGTATTTTCTAGAGTGGTCAATTAAAGTACCTACCTCCTTCTTCCCTTTCGTCGTCCCTGTTGATTATGTCGTCTTTTCCGTCAGTCAATTTTTAGGGAAAAAACCGTTAGCCCCCAGAGCCCTTCGTTTCTTGGTCACTTACAAATTAAGCAAAGTGGCTCTAGGGACGAGAATGTTGCGAATTTATTTCGATTTTTTTTCTCTCGCTCTCTTCCCGTTTTCCCTTTCTCTTTATAGCCAGAATGAAATCTTGGCTGGTTTCCAACAGAGGGACAAATTTAATCTGTAAATAGTAGTAGGTAATAAGTAAAATTAGCAGTGGGTTTTTCCCCAAATGCTGCTTGTTGTTTGTCTGTAACACTGTTAGGATTAGTCAAAATCTGTTTGCTGGAAAATTCAAACTTTGCTGATACAATAGCTAATTACCATTGGTCCACGAAGAAAAATATGCCTGGGTCCAAAAGCGGACCAAAAACGACCAAAGCGGACGTCAAAGAGTTAAAGTAAGTTGTAAATAACATGCAATTTCCTGTTTAGAAAAAATACAAAAATCAAGAAATAGGGGCCCAATTAGCCTCCTCCGCACTCGTTCTCTAAAAGAGGACAGTGAAGACCGCGGAGGAGGCTGGGGCCCAATATTAAGGCGGAATCCATCAGGAAATTTTCTCAGGCTCCCATAAGAAATTTTCTTTGGTGCCAGTTATTACAGATGACAAACTACATCTTTAGTCCTCGAAAAATGAAAAAAAAAAAAAACACAATATGCTTTAAATTATTCTGGTACAAGGTTTTTGTCCACTGAAAATAAATATTACTCAATTTCCTGGTGGATTCCGTCTTAAAATAATTGCGAGGCTACTAGCCAATACGTCAATCGGCAGATTTCCGTTTCTTTTCAAATTGTTTGGCACGAGTTTTCATGTAAATTATTTGAACGTTTTCATAAATCCATTTGAAAAAATACGATAAATTGACCTTTGAGTACTGTGAGGGTGCGTGTAGCACCTGTAAAAAAGTTATTATTTTTTTCAAAGCGTTGCTAGGGTAGGGTAGAATAACATGCGAGTGAGGTCAAGGTGTGGGGTGTAACGTTTTTGTTTATTACAGACGGCCTATGCAGAAAGGGGGAGGGGATGGAGGAGGAAATGTTTTGCAGACGTATTACAAAGGACTTGGTCCACACCCTTCCCCCGAATAACAGGGACCTTAAGATCCGAGCTGGATTCGCCTTCTTTCAAACTTCATCACGATTATTCCAACTCACTTTCTTTGTCAAATATAGGCGAACGTTCCAGGAGTCGACCTCCTAAGAACCATATCCAAGTTCAGACAGATAAAAGGAAATTTTGACGTCGCTTACGTCTCCATAAAACGAGAAATTAGGCATTTTCACGTCGTTTACGTGTAGTGACTGCAAAGAAATCTGCAAATAACGTGTTGATCGCGAGCAGTTACTGTTTTGCCCGAAATAAAACGTCTGGCTTTTTTGACGTTCTCGTTGCCGTCGCCGTCATCGAATCTTACGGTTCCTAATAACTAATGGGAAGCCCTTTATACTAAGTAAAATATAACTTCTAGGACAAGCATGTCCAAACAGGCAATAAAAGAGAAAAAAGTCTCAGTGTTTAATTACTTTGAACGAAGGTAATTTTTAGCCAGTTGCTATACCAAAGAACAATACTCACTTTACAGCTAGGCATTCACGTGGTACATGCACTCGCCACGCTTGAGATCAAGAGACACACTGAGAAAAGACAACCATAGGAAATTGTTTTTTTTAAATGATGTGAGCCCTTTGTTTGTCATGTCCCAGCGCGTCCTTGCTCTCCGACGCGGCGGTTTTGTACCGCTTAAATGACTGGGTGCAAAGGGTCCTTTTGTTTATTGACACGGCGGTTTGCTATTGCTTATTGAACGCACCATACAACAGGAAGAATTAAAATGCGTATTACATAGATGTTATTAATCTATAAAAACCTATTTTTTTTCCGGCAAGACTTAAATATCGAGAGCACCTGAAGATCGACAAAAATGATCATTGTAGCGGTTAACTCTGACTCTTCTACTTATGTATCTAAAACGTTTTCCAAGCTTAAAATAGGCGTAGCAGTCGGTTAAGGTTGTATAGTAGGTCTGCTGAAATGCTACAGAACCCTAAGCAAGCGCACGGACGTATTAGGCAAGTGACCGCTCAGTGCAGTCGCCATCTTTGAATAAAAGCACAAGGAAATTAGGATCAGTAGAGAATTCTGCGAAACTGCCCACAACTACCCGTCCCAACTCAACATCTTGTCCTACGTGAAAAGTTAGTGTTGATAGGCTGAAAAGACAACACAGAGGCAAATGAGACCATGGCGCGAAAACGCGCGGGAAGGACTGAACGACTTCCTGTGCCTCGTTTCTCGCCCTGCCATTGGCCAAGCTCTGTGCGTGCCGTGGGGAGTAACTGCCTGCTATGTTCACACAATACTGGATATCTTTTGCGCCGGTACGAGAACTATACCGGATACGGTTTCAGTTCACACACACCAACGGGGATTTCGGCGCGAAGTTGCGCCCGGTCAATCTCGAAGGTGGAGCATCGGCATATCGAATAGCTTCTGTGTCAAGACTATGGTGCGGTGTAAAGCAGGTATTCGGACCTTCGCTAAAGTGAATAAATAGGAAAGAGGACTGGAGTCCACTGAGACGGAAGTAAATATTCATGAGTAAGGAACAGGAATTAGTTCACCAAACCTTCACCTTGAACGGCTCCGGCACGATGTTCGATGTGTATGAACGACTTGTTCCAGTTCTGTTTGCGCCGTTGCTGACTGTTCATACTATACTGTACCAGCCGACATGAAAGGCTATCCAGTATAGGGTGAACATTGCCTAAATCTGCCTAATGTTGAGATGAGTAGGAACTCTGAATCTTATAATGATCCGAATATTGGGGAGAGTACGATACGTACACCCAAGCGAATTTTAGTGCTTACCCCCTCCCCCCTTAAAAACGCCTGCACTGCAGACTTGACATTATGAGGTACGCACGAGCGTAACACCTAAAAAGGAAGAAATCGAGCCCTTTGGGCGTGTTCCTGTAATCATGCATCTACTACATAAGAAGCAAGGATAGGATAATGCATTCAATAATGGGGAGCTTGAGGAAAAGTTTTTTTGTTGTCGTCATCCAGAAGTGAGTCCTTCCCACTTCCTGTGAACGTGCATCGTGAAAAAAAAAAATTTCTTTGCTTAATCTCCCTATATCTAAGTCTTCCACCTCGCCGTCCAAACCATGATCTCTTAAAGAGCCATCCTTGAGAAACCAATTCTCAGGCAGCACTTCTTGCGACTCTAAAGTTTCCAATCGCAAAGAAAAACCTCGTTTCAGTGACAGTACGTAACCTGATTCAGTAGCGGTTTTTTTTCTTCATTTTTGAATCAGGCAAAACCAAATCCTTCGCTTCCTTCGTTTATTGCCAGCAACAGTTTCTTCTGCATTTCCTTGAACGATGAGTAAGAAGGTAAACAAAGCTGGTTGAAGCTAAAGAAAGAAAAGACGGTAACACCCGGTTAGCTCTGTTGGATAAGCTCCGGTCTGCCTGAGAGACCGGGGGTTCAAACCCCGACCGGAGCAACACTCAGGGTCTTTCAATGACTGAGTAGAATGTGCTGCCTTTTTAAAAACATCTGAAAACGGTTTGAGTTCTAGTCTTCTCGGATAAGGACAATAAACCATAGGCCCTGTCTCACAACCCTAGCACGTATCATCATTTCTGCATGTAGGAAGCTAAAGAACCCACACACTGTTCGTAGAAAGTACGGAACGTAGTACCCGGTGTGGTGGTCTACCTTTACAGCAAGTGGTCGGCCTTGCTACTTTAGCTAGCTTAAAGGGCTTCTGAGCAAATGAGACCACAATATGGGTACAGCACGAAGTCAATCTATTCAGGGACTGAGGACACAGGAGCATAATGAGGACAATTTTCATAAACGCGTTCCACAGTATTTTTGTTTCCCTCCAACAGCTAAGGAAGAATTCTTTAGATAATACATCTTTTCCTTGAAGTCTCAGCTTCGTTCACAAAGGAAAACCTGACTGAGACGGGGGGAGACGCGAAAAATACGATATTTAACCCACCAGGTATGTGCCGTAGGCAGTGCGTCTGTTGTGGGAGCTGAAGAGATCTGTATTGGTGGAGAAAGCTCAGCAAATCCTCCAGGAGGCAGCTGAGAGGATCCTGTAATGAACTGAACCAATCGGGCAAGTTCTTCTTGAGTAAAACTAGTCACTATCGTCCAAAACCAATCCAGAGTCTAAGAAGAAACGTGAAATTAGCGCTTTTCATGAAAGTTGTTTCTGCGCTTCAGAACACTAATTATTCTGGCCAATAACAGCACGGGCAGACAATCCAATGAACCAATCAGAGCTCGAAACCAGCGACTAAGCGCAGGAAAATGCGCGAAACCAAGTCGGAAAAGATTTCGACATTGCTCCTATTGGTCGAAAAAATAGCGCGAAATTTATTACGCAAACGCTTCCACTAGTTGTGTAAGGCAAAGTTTGAAAATTAACCACGTGTTGTGTATGGTGCTGTTAAAACATCTTCACTCATAAATATATACACGTTGTATGAGCTCCTATTTATTGCTAGATAACAGGGCGCTGTAAGACAGCTGTCACATACGACAAATCCTGTAGTGGCCTCCCAGCCTCACTGAATAAATAACCTTCTGCGATACTATTAATGAAGCCTGTTCACTACCTTTCCAAAGGACATCCCGCTGTTTATAACGCTGTGGTTTTGTCGGAAATCAGACACACTAATATTTCCTGTCCCACACATTAGAAGCTGGCAAAAACAATAATAATAACATAAAAAGTCAGATGTTTAAATCACATTGCAAATGCAATTCAATGAGAAGACTGCCCTCTCAAGTCAGGTACAGACTACATAATCAAAAATGAGCGCGTGGAGGATAATGGCAAGAAGGAAAAGACCTCACTTCTCCACTTTGCTATTCCCATCGTTCCTTGCGCGCCCTCTTTTTCTCTCACTTAAGCCTTGGACTGGCTCAAGAACAGGGCTTTGCGTTTGAGTTCAAGTGCGTCTGAAATCATATGAATTATGAACAAAACCGGACCGGCGAGCAAGAGTATGATTACAAAACTGGACGACAAAAATTTCTGCAGCCCATTAATCATTAAACTAATAAGCAAAATTTGAGGTTAATAACAATTTGTAAAAGTTTCAACTTTTGTTTAGTTAAAACAAAAAGACCTTTTTTGGCAGGACGTGAGGAAAAAGGTCCTTTTTAGCGCAAACGTGCTATTACAGCGCCCGCAATGTCTCGCGCTGTCTAATTACATTGTCCTACTAAATTAATAATTAATGGTAAAATCAGCTCTGCGGGTGGCTAATCAGATGTGAGGATTTTGTTATAGTGATAACAAAGTTTTAAATAGGATAAGCATGTTACTCACTTCTAATTCGTATTCATCAAACACACTGAGAAGACTGTCTGGAACCATTTCATTTAAACCTATACAGAGTAGAAAAAAGTTAGTTAACGGCTCATTCATGGTTTTTACATGACGTCACGGCGGCCATGTTGGTACACCAAAAAATTCCAGTGAGGTTCAGTGGGGATTGAACACCTTTTTTATGTAAAATTTTCGCTTGTTTCAAGAAATTTGAATAACTACTGATCAAGTTAGAGAAAGCTGATCTAGTATACTGTACGCAACGTACTGATGGACTTGTCAGAGGAGCAGTGGTTGGTTTTACGAATTTCCTGGATCGTTACTTAAGCAGCTTTTCATCACTTACACAATAAACCATTATTATTGCCCAGCAATACACAAAAATTAATAAAGTAAGTTCACCGATCGAATTCCTGGAACAGTACCAGAGGTCCAGTTAGTAGCCTGCGAACGGCAGACGTTTCTCCTCCGCTCATCGCCGCTGAGGGACGTTTCACGAGGAGGAACGTCGGCGACTCAGCCACAGAAATTCCATACGGATGACGCAAAATCTGTCCGGAATCCGGGCAGAAGCGCTAATTGGTCGACGGAGCAGTTTCATTGTTTTAGCTATTGTTTACGAATGACAGACAAAAGACAAAAGGCCACAAAGGTCAAATGTAAACGCGATGAATCTCTAACAAAACAGCCAATATTTGTGGCATATAGTCTTCTCTTGAAGAAGGATTTAAGCTTTGCTGGAGCTAATTTGCAGATGAACACAACACTTTACCAAAATCGACCAGGGGAAACGTCAAATTAAACAAATTTGCATTTGGAACTCCATGACTACCGAATTTATTATGTAAACATTGATTTACGTCATCAGTATGGAATTTCTGTCGCTGAGTCGCAGACGTTCCTCCTCGCGAAACGTCCCTCAGCGGCGGTGAGCGAGGAGAAAAGTCTGCCGTTCGCAGGCTATCCAGTTAGTTTCTATAAATAAACTCCTGGGCTGAGTTGCTCAAAGCATGGTTAGCTTTAACCATTGGTTAAGCAGTATCAAAACCAATACGTTGTCAAGGTATTAAACGCTGGTTAACGCTAACCATACTTCGAGCAACTGGGCCCTGACCGATTGAAATTTAAAAACAATGATTTTTAAGCAGAGGGGAAAAACGAAGCCCCCTGAAAAACGGAACCCCTCAGAAAAGAGAACAAACAAAACCTCAACCCACGACTCTCCACTTGAAAAACGAGAAGGAAACTGGAGCCGAAATGCGTCCCGCTATTGTTTGTGGGATCGTGCCGGTCAGCAATCCATTGTTTCTCTGTCCCTAGTAACAGTCCCAGAAGTCTTTGCGAAAGTTAACTCGGGCCAGGTCCCTTCTCGTTTCTGAAGAATTGGCGTGGCGATAAGAAAAGATGAACCTTTTGCAAAAGCCTCAATCTCCTGCTTGACGGAAGAGGAAAGACGATACTGCGCTAACAGATCCAGATATTCTTTCTTGTTTGATTCTGTTACCGGGATCTGAGCACCACCCGGCTTCAATTCAACCATCTGCAAGAACCAGACAACGTTATAGTTGTTACGTACATCAAATGAAAATTTGTCTTTAAAAGAGAATTGATGATTTTCTAAGTGCAAATTACGTGGAAGCCCGACGGAACAAATTACCAGGGGACTGAAATGTTCAGTATAAGGGGAAAAACTTATACCGTTTCGTTTTCAAGCATTTTACCATAACTGGGGCGTAAGAGTCGTTCGTTCTGCCGGGGTCCTCGTTTTATAAGAGTTCGACCGATTAGAAACTATATCATCCCTTTTTTCCGCCTGCATTTGGGTGGCGGAAAAAGAGACAAGGGTGTCATAACTTCCAAGACCAAATTCGTGGCGCATAATACAGCCAATGATGGTGTAAAATTTAGTTACATTTGGTCTTCTGTGCCTCGTTTCAAGGTATAGACAAGTAACAGTTGTTGTGAATTCTGTAGAGACAAAGAGAGCTAACTAACAAATACAAAAGAACAGTAATATTGCCACCATCTTAGAATAAGGTGTATAATCAGCAGAAAGAGATTTAAAGGCGTCAAATTGCTGTTTTTAAGAAAATACAATCATTAAAAGTTTTACAGAACTTAAACTTTGGGCTAGAAAGCAAGCATACTAAGTGAAACCACGCGAACGAAGCTTTTCAGCTGAGGAAAACACAACTTGCTGCAGAGGTTATCAAAATTCTGTAAGCGCTGTTTGCATACTCGAGAGACTCCGGGATGGAGCGTTATCTTACCTTCTCTAAGCGCCCCTGCATATCGTACTCCTCTTCAGCGAAAACCAGTCCCAGGTCTTCCGGGTCAGTCTCCTCGATGTACTTGATTTTACTCCGATAAAGCTGCTTATCGTCACTTTCAAAATACTGTGGTTATGAACAACAGAAAGAGCGTCGAAATTCAGACAATAAGGGAAAGCGGTGGCTACGAACTTACACAGAGAAACGGTAAAACAGACCAAAACTTCTAAACACAGTCGAACCTCCCGTACGCGACCACCCAAAAAGCGACGACTTAGTGCTCAGCGCTTACGGCAAGAGGTCGCTTACGAGAAAAGAACCACAGGGAGTCTCTTGTGATAAGCTCACTTGCAGCTGACAAAGATCACGCGATTCGAAATGGTCGCTTACAAGACACGTTGCTCAAAAAATAAACATGATAAGAAGGCAGATATGTAGATTGTGATGTCTTACCCTGTAACAGACACGAAGACCAAGAAGTTGAGCTAAAAACGATCTGGTGAACCTCGCTTTCACGTTGAGCCTTCGGCCTGAGCCCAAAGCAGATTCGTATAAACATTTTCCGACAATGCGCCCAGCAAACTCATAAAACTTTAACTTCATTCCAACAGGCCTTTTGGGGTTCGGATGAACCTACAAGGATGAAACGACAAAATCAGTAATCAACTGGGAGTAGGTTAAAAGTCGTTGGTGTTCCTTTGCCGAGAAAGCAGTGATAGCGCGCGTACGCTGTCAAATTGGCTCTATTTTTCCCGGCCTCAATACCGTTTTCTCCCCTCCCCCTCCACCCCTCCCCGCCCTTCCAGGGCAGTGCAACTTGGTTAGCTGGGGTGGAGATTTCTGTTCGTATTTACAATGAATCGCACGAAAATCCAACAATACCGCGGTCTCAGCTAAAAATTCAGTCTCCATTAAATTAAGCAAATTAGTAGCCGAAAGAAATTAATTAATTAGCTGCAATCCAGGTTGTGAATCAAACCCTCTAACGTGACAACACAAGGAATCCACATGAAGTACAATAAAGCAAAGATCGTCAAAGGTTATGAAAACAAATTAAGCAATCCTAAACAGTTTACTAGGAACTTGTTATCAGGCAAGCGTTGGACAAGCTCGTGAACCTGTGATTCTTTTCAGCTAACTGACAAACACCAATATACACTGAAGACAACAATCTCACACCCACCAGTGCTTGAGGATCGTCGGCGTTGAATCGAGTGAAAAAGCCACTTTCATGTGAAAACAGAGCTTTACATAACAACTCCACCCACTCGCGCCGCAAGCCACCCCAGTCAACACCTAGCGAAAAAAAAAAAACTACACGTAATCAAATGAAAACAAAAACGAAACAAACAAACAAAACAATTGTTGTTACAGTCGACTCTCTCTTAACGGACACCTCAGTAAAACGGACACTTATGGTTTGTTCCTGCCTTTCCCATTACTCCCTTTATTTGACTCTCTATGAGATGGACGCCTCTCTAAGAAGAACACTTAGTGCACGTCCCAAATGATGGGAGAGTTAGGTTGACTGTGATGCAGAAGTTACACTTAGCTCTCTCTTAACAAACACCTATGTAAGACGGACACAGAGAGTTGGTTTCTGCCGCACTTCAGTCCTTTTCTTTGACACTCTATTCGGTAGGCACCTCAATAAAACGCACACCTAGAGTTGGTCCCTTCTCGGTTCTTCAATCCTTTTCTTTGACTCTCTATAAGGCTTAACCTCTTACCAATTTCTCCTTTGAATGTGATGTGAAAAAGTCGCAGCCAGTCACTCGAGTATAGAGTTTTGACAGTAGCTTGGTATGACTGAAAAGACAAAAGAGAAAACATTCCAAAATCCTCGTAAGAACAATCAAAACATTTGTTGGACATTGTAGGTGATTAACCTGGGAGGTTACTACAAAACCTTGTGTACGGGGATCCAAGGGGCCCCACTCACATATTTTAATGACGGGGGGGTCCGAAGGATTTTTTTGGGTCTGACATTTCGGCCAAAAGGGATTTTTTTGCGTCTATGAAAGACGCCGAGATTTTTTTGGGTCGCGAAAACAACACAGGGATTTTTTTGGGTATTGTATTTTTCATCAGCTCAAATCGACAATAACATAAGCGCAATTTATAGTTTTGTTTTTGACCAAATTTTATCGCAATTTTTTAAAGTTAAAAGTTGAAGTTGGCATGTTTTAGCTTTCCAGAAGATAAATAATAAAATTTGCTGATGCAAAAACACTGAGGGAGTTTTTTGGGTAGACAAATTCTGAAGTTGGGATTTTTTTTGGTATAAAATATGAACCTCTGTCGGACAACCCCGTCATTAAAATATGTGAGTGGGGCCCCTGGGACGGGGATGCTATCGACTACCCAGAGGCCCAGGCCCAAACCCTTACCCTTCTATACACCATTTTTTTTTGCAATCAAAAGGTTACCCTTTCAAGGGACTTTACGTAGATAATGATTCCGTTTTTCATCGACTGAAAGCTTACGCGACGAATCCCCATAACAACATCCTTGGTTTACAAGCACGTGAAAAGATGCCATGTTGGTGGACACAACAGTAAATTTTTTGGTTCTTGCAGAATTCGGATAAAAAAGAGTCTTTTTCATCCAAATTCTGCAAACTGAGTTTAGTTCTCAACAGAGGGAAACGCCGCGCTTGTTCTTATCAACCAACATGGGCGCCGTGACATCAAGCAATGAGGCAATTTCATAACTATTACACTGTAACGGAACTCACATGAAGCTACTCTTCTGTCATGAAATCACAAAGGTAAAGGTTTGTAACGTCTTATTACATCCATCACACAGAAAACCGCGAAGTTATAACAAAATCACAAGGATTTACAAAGGGTTTTCGACGATCTACACGACAACTTGAATTGAAATAGCTTTATACTGACAGTTTAATAATTCACTTTTCCCTTACCGTAGGGGAAAAGTGAATGACTTGCACAACCCCTTTTTAAATCTTTTAAACGGAATAGTCGTTAAGTGTGCCTCTCCCAGATACTTTAAAAGGCGTTAGGTTTCCTGACCCATTTCCATAACTCACTTCGTGAAATCCCCACCATTCTAAAACCTCTGGCCTGGAAAAAGCTGACCCCTTTCGGGCGGAGCATCTCCAAAACGAGCACTATACAGTACCTCCTCCGAGGTGTCTAACTGTTTAACAACTTACACTCTCTAGCAGCTTATGACGATCAATCCTCAAGTTTACTTCTCCAGCTTTTTTACCGTGATATACTACAAGTTCACGATAAAAGAAATCTTGTTTATCCTTAAAACTTTCCGATCCACCTAAGAGAAAAGAAAAAACGCCCATCTTGCAAATCGTACCAGACTAAAAAGGCAATGGCCCAATGCAAACAATTTGGAAAAATTCAAAAACGGTGTTTTCGATCGCAAAAGGGAGAAATTGTTTTGGTGTTCATTTTGTTTTCAGCATCTAAATGATTGCTGAACCCTTAAATACTTCATAGAGCGTGAGCATGTACACAGTACATAAGACGAGCTGTTATAACAGAAACCTTTTCCGTTCCGTGTCCCTTTTCCACCCTCCACTCCATTGTATCAAGCCGGCGTTTTAAAAGTTAACAATTTTGGAGAGTGCTTTTCAAAATCACGGTGGTATTCATTTCGCGCCGGTCAAATTTAAGACCGTGCTGGCTAAAAAATTGACCTGGATTTCGGTGTTGTTCAAATTTTTGAACGGCTAGGCCTCTCCGAATATCGTACGGCTAGCCTTGTTCCGTGTGAACGTAACACCTAAACGCATGTCCGCTAATTTTCAACAGGTCGAAAATTCGTCCGCTACTGGGTGCCGGAACTTATAGCCTGAACCTGCTATTTTGACATTCTCGTTGCCGTCTTCGTTGTGGTTACTTAAGTTCGCCAATAGAGAGACCTTTAGATTCTAAGACGAGGACGACTACGAGTACGAGATTTTCTCAATACCGAGAAGTGCGCGCGTGCGAACCAACGTCATTTTGGCGGGAAAATGTGATAGCTGTCGTCATTCTACTACGAGTTTTCGCGCGAATGACGTGGTGGCGAAATCAAGTAATCAAATGTTAGGAATTTTATCATTTAGCGAGCGGGAGAGGGCTTTACTTCCTTCAACGGAAATAAGCGAACTATAACTTTTGTGGTGTCTATTTTTAGAGAATAGGCGAGAAAACTTAAAATTTAATGTCCTCGTCCTCGAATCTAAAGCTCTCTATTAGAGACCTTAACCGACAACGACATGCAGCGATGGCTACGAAAACATCACTTAAAAAGCGAAGGCGTTCGCCTAGCCTTAAGTCGATTCGCTCGATGTCATGCAACACTCTACAACATAGTGAACCTACTTCTCTGATATGCTATTTTAGCTAACCTTGTATTCCACATGTGCAGTCACTGTCTTTCCATGCTTGTTCCTTTTTCTCAGAACGACAAATACACACGGGGCGAATCGACTTAACCTGGGCGAACTGCCATCGGGCGAATCGACCCGACACTATGAATACTGACCTATTCTAGTGAGCAAGAGTCTTGAGAATGTAGCGACCAAGACATTCCTTTCTTTACACATGACAGTGACTGGAGGCTGCGCGCCATCATCTACAGTGAAGATTGGGTGCTCTGCATTGGTGTCAGGGGGGTGTAAGATGATCTGAAAGAGGAGAGATATGTTATCAGACATACACTGTACCCACCATTAATTTGTCTTCTAGTTGGCCAAGAGTCTGCCTATAAACCTTAATAGAAACCTTTAGATTTTAAAACAAGGACGACTACGAGAACTACCACCCCACAATTTTGCCAACAAGCCCCCTTAAAACTGTGAAAGGTTTGAACCCAGGAGTCATTTCAAAAGTAGGTTGACTTTGATCGTCCGGGTGAACGTAGTCCTGAAGAGGACTGTTGTTGTTGACAGTGACTGACGTTTCGACAATCTGCGCGGTAGTCATCTTCAGAGTCAAAGTGCGTTGTATCGCGTCAGTTGATGGTATTATGACCAATCAGACCAATAACCAGAGTATAATACCATCAACTGACGTCATACAACTCACTTTGACTCTGAAGATGACTACCGCACAGGTTGTCGAAACGTCAGTCACTTTCAACAACAACAGTCCTATTCAGGACTACGTTCACCCGGACGATCAGACTCAACCTACTTTTGAAGCCCCCTTAAATTAATTTTTTTCCCTAATGCATCGATTTATCTGTATTCATGCGGTTAATCAGTAACAAGAGAAAAAATGTGGAAACTGAGGAAAGTAGATACCTTTGTAGTGGGTCTGACACGAAATCCATATAATCGATGAGGAATTATCTTCACATAAAATTCTTTTATTAACAATTGCTAAAAGACAAAAAGATATCATTTGTCAACCTTTACTCTTTACTACAGCGTAAGTGATCGTTTTGGTTTTTTTGTGAATTTGAATACCACTAAATCTAAATATTACCCTTCTAAAATACTATTAAAGTTTAACACCATATAAACTAAGGAAACCAACATTTCAAAATGAGTTTGCGCCAATTTTGACGGACTCTATTTTTTATAGCATTTTAAGCTAAAGTTGTGACAATATGTTTGAAAGTCTTCACAAGTAGTATCTAGGTAATGTATTTGAAGAGTATAAATAACGGTAGCTTAAAGGAGCTGTGTCACAAAATTCAGGCAAAGTAGGTAATTACAAAATGCCCGTTAAACTGAGAGAAACATAAAAAATAACCACGTAAAACATTAAAGGAAGGTTAAAATAACACAACAGAAACAACAGATTCCCCGGATGGGCAAAACTGAAGAAGATTGAAATGGATTGAAATTCGGGTTTTTGAAAACTGTTCAGCCTAACAGTTTTTCGAAGTTGATCCCTGCTGCTTGCAACTTCATAAATAATGCTCAGGAGACATATTTGTTTGTTTCTGATCTCTGATATTTGTCATTTACATGTAATTTGTGTGCTTACTTTAAGTTCCATAGTGATTAAGGGCGAGTAATTGGCAAAATTAAACAAACTGAACTGGACTGCCATGACACAGCCCCTTTAGGCAAAGACATTTTTGAGCAACGCACGTCCACGGGAAGAGGACGTTTTAAATTTTTGGGAAGCCCAAATCCTCGAGCTAATTGTCTCTCTAGTTAGCAATACAAATTGGTAACATCAAGGCATATTAAAAAGGAAAAGGAGGCAGTTCCGGTTGGGGTGCGTCGCTCAAAAACGTCTTTGCTTTGAAAGCTCTCTAATAATGAATAAATAATAAACTTCAAATAATTCTTACAGAGTACATTTTCTGTGCAACGGTAAATTCAACCCATCCTGAGCATAAGTTATTCTACCCCCTAAAAAAAAACAATATTTTTTTGATTACCTTTTTGGTAATATAGCAATAAACCTTCTGAGATTTTTTCAGGGCACTGCCATTCCATGCAAGAGGTGTGTTAGTTGGAGAAGCGATAAGTTGGCCAGGGTTGCTGGGAGTGGGGGTGGGCAGGGTCAACAGAGATTCATCTCTTGTCAGCAGGAAAGCCTCAAACCAAACATTCCAACACTGCCTCTTAATATTCTTGTTGACTTGATCAATTTCTTTAGCTTTTAAGAAAAAAGAGAACCATCACTATGTGTGATGATGAATATATAAATTTTATATATTGGAACTACGGAATGAAGAAATAAACCCAAAGAAGATTATCACAGTTAAAGACGCAACTATGCAGTTGCCAAAAGAAACCTGAAAAAATGTGTCAGTAACAGCACTAAATGTTACTTGTACTAAGGTTTACAAGCCAAAAAAGAAATAACAGGACCCCAAATAACAAATGTTTGTGGTTTCTCATCAAGTTGATTCACTGTAGTGTCAAGTTTTTCATGTCTGAAAACGTTTTGCCCACGTTGAAAGCCCTCATTCACTAATTACAACCCACCTGACTTTAACCATATAGGATCTTGCTTAGATGGGTGCGAATTGACTTTGAAGCAAATCAATGGATTACCAAAAACAAATTGTCAGGAGCACTTAACTGGCTAACCACTGAAACAACATCGAGCAGTAGCACCGAGTAAGACAGAGATTCCAACCCTCCCGTTTTGGCCGGAAACCTCCCGTTTTATGTGAATATTTGTGGCCTCACGCTTTCCCTAACCAGTCTTTTTAGCATGCTTCATTGTCACTCTTCTGTGGTTCTCAGCCATTTTTACTCTTTTGGCATCCGACCATGAGCCTGTGGTAATTTTGGAAGCAGTATTTCCATTACCTGTAATCTCAAAATGCAGGGAAGGGCATCTTAGAGACACATATCTCATAATTTTTCCTAGAGGAGCATGCCCCCGGACCCCCTTTAGGCTTGCACCTCCATTTTTTTTTAGTTGACAGGGTTGGAATCTCTGGTAATATTATATAATAATAATAATAATAATAATAATAATAATAATAATAATAATAATAATAATAATAATAATATTGTATTATTATTGGTTTGTGGTTTTGTGGCTTGCTCGTGTAATTGAGTCACATTTGTGAGCTGGTCACTCTACATTCATGGGTGTTTCTTGGTGTTTAAGTCTTCAAGGTGTTTTCTGAGTTAATTCAGGGTAAAGAAACAAAAACTATGGCAATGACTTTGATTAAGATGCAAACTTTGAACAACTCAAATTCAGAATTTGAAACAACAGGTGCATTTTTGTTATTTTGGGGCCTAAAATGGAATAAATTCCCGGATATATATTTATAAAGAATTCTGCATCTGAAAAGAGCCTTTGGTATTGTAAAAAACAAACTTACCGTTTAGAGAGATGATTGTAAATTGTCCCTGGCTAAGTGACAGCTTGTTGTACCTGACCACTGCATTAAAACAACCTTCCGAATCCAACTTAATATGCAGAATATAATTTTTATCATTCCCATCTGGCAAGATTACAAGTTCAGGGTCTGTCTTTATTTTGCTTCCAATCTGACAAGTAATGTACTGGCATTAGCTAGGTTTCAGTCAATGGTACACTCCACACAGATACCTTCCAAAAATCCTAAGGGTGGGTACTCCACATTTATGGAGTTGGGGAAGTGTGAAGGATTGTTTTGTTGTGTAAAAATCAGGCCTTTAAGATTTTTTTCTAACGAAATAAATTATTTTGCAAATATCTTTTTTGGGGGTTGTTTGATATTACCAGTGATATTTTTTGTGGGGAGAGGGGTATTCAGCAAAACTTGGAAAATTGTTGGTGAAAATAATGATTTTTGATTCATGAGTTTGGGATTTCTTTCTACGTAGCTAAAGAAAATTTTGGCATAACTTTGGGGATGTGTGATTTGACATCATTTTCATTTAGGGAGGGGGGATGTTAAAAAATATTGGAAGATTTGTGGTATAAAATAATAATGATACTTATATGATATAATCAGTACATGCACACTTGTTGTTTAAAAAAAAGAGGTTTCTAATATTCTGGGGAAACAGAGGTAGTAAAATAAATAATTAGCTAGCTTAATAATAATTTGCCCTACCTTGGTAACTTCAACACTGTATGAATGAACATCTTGTTCGGATAATGGACAAATGTTACCAAACTTGTCTCGTGCTTCTACAGTGAGAGGTGTATAGATCCCCTGTTGAACCTCCAAAATTGATCCCCCTTCCAAAATACTGCACTTTACTGGATCAACATTCCCTGTGGTTTAAAAACAAGAGAGTTCTACTAACCATTTCATTACCCAAATTCCCATAAAAAATTATAAAAATATCATTATTTAGAAGGAATAATGGGATGATACCATGCCAAAAACACTGCCAACAAGGTACAATTTCATCTTAAATCAGTTAATTGTCATAACACAGGCTTATCAACAGTACATACCATTAATGCTTTCATCCACAGACTCAAAAGTTACAACTTCTTTATACAGCATAACATAATCGTAACATAAAAAAGTACTGCAGAAAGAGATTTCAGTTGATTGGTCATACTACAGGATTTCATCCACAGACTAAAAAGTAAAAACCTGTTTCTACCATGGGAAATTACGGGTGGTCATCAAACCCAGCGAAAGTAATGCTGAAGAGGTAATGATTATAAGATATTTAGAACTGACCATAAGCTTGGAAGCGAAAAGAATTGCGTTTGATTGTCTACTTCATCTTTGCTGACTCTGTAAGTTGAGGTTTAATATTATATTATTTAAACAATAATGCAACAGTGTTACCAGGTAAAAATGTCTTTGTGAATGGGCTTCCTTTGATTGGAGTTCCACGAGCAAGTACAGAAATCTTGTAGGTTCCAGCCTCTCTAACAGTAAATGATATTTTCATCATATTACTATCTCCCCATTTTTGGCCACCATATTCACGTGAACTTACAATAAAGGTATTATCATGCATGATCTCCACAAGGACGTAGTCAGCTTCCGAGATTGGATAAGGAGTAAAATTCATCCTGTAAAACTGTAAAAACAGAAAAAAAGTTGTTTTAGACACATTAACTATGCAATGAAACTTACAATAGCCTTTTCTGGAAATTTTATTTAAATTAATCAGACAGACAGTGAGTGTGCTTCCCATCCCTATCTGTCAGAATGTTATATTTTTCTAGGAAATGTTGTTACCCTCTTTCTTCCCTTCTTTACCCTAAGGTCAAAGTGTGATCCTCTGGTCCTCCAGGTTGGGGGTTGGGCTGAGGGCTGAACTTCCCTCCCCAATAAAACCCTATTACTAAAGAAACCCTTTGCCCTTTCTAGCCCATGCCCATCTTCAGGTGATAAGAGAAGTAGCTATCATTATCAGTCATGTAATCCATTTGCTAGTTGTGGGACTGATACTCAAGCCATTAAGCCTTTAAGCCCCAATATCCACATACAAATTCTCCAAACTGATCTCTATATATTTCCTTAAAGAATGAGTAGAGAGAATTTGATAAAAAATCAAAGCATTTTCTCTTGGGTGATCATTTTGTTAATTCTCATAACCTAGTCTCTTGACAATGTATGGATATCATTGGGAGAAAATTGATGTTGGTCACTATGGGGACTTAAAGTGTTAAAGGAAGCATGTTAGGGTTGACTATCTTGTTTTGATACAATCATCTTCTGTTTTCTTTGAAAAAAAAAAAGAATTATGCTGAAATGAAGGTGGCATAAAAACAGCAGGAAGGGTTGTATCTAAAAAAGATTCCACAGCCCCACTTCCACTAACAACTGCAATTTGGGCTATTCATATTCTCGTTTAATGAAATATTAATATATTAACAAATTATTACCTTAAGAAAAAATGACATAGATTCGCCCACTATATGGGGGTCTTCCCAATCCCACTTTACTTTTGTGAGTCTAGGTTCCAGCGTCAAACCAAGCATGTATCGCATAAATGAAGACTGGTGCTGCTGACTCTTGGTTTTCAATCGAGAAAATCCAACGCAAAAAATGACCAGGCAAATTACAGTGGTTAAGGTGTATAAAAACATTTTACCTACAATAGAGAGAGAAAATAATGCATATAAGTGAATTTCATGAAAAAAATTTTTTAATGAGATACCAAATTTGAACAGATCTAGAGGAAGCAGAACATTTAATTTGTGGGCGATGTGTGACTAAATGTACTGTACATGTAACTTTAATCTGATCCCTATATCCTATCCCAGGCGGGCTACTTTAGAAATTTTGGGGTGGGAATGAACTGTTGGGACCCCCAACCCTTAGCTTATACCAAACCTAGTTCAGCTGAATTTTATCCTACTCTTATACTAAACAACACCCTCAGAATCCCTCCTTATCCTAAATTTGCTTTTTTTTTCAGAAACTACTGGGGAGGATGCTATCTCTGCTATTGAACTGAGTTGTGGGTAAATAATATAGATTTGCCCGCTTTCATCTTTTTTGAGAGTCAATTTCCGGTTGCAAGTAGTCTAGTAGTCCATTGCAAGGTTACCCCCCAGTAATATATTGTCGCCATTACGCCATTTATACACCTGGGTGAAGAGAGACAAAGTGTAGTAAAGTTCCTTGTCCAAGGAAACAATGCTACAGGTGAGGCTTCAACCCTGGACTTCCAGATCAGGAGTTTGAGGTGTTAACCGCTCAGCCACACACGCCTCCTAGTACTTTTTCAAAAGAGAAATGCTGGAGTTTTCCAAGAGTTTACAAAGTACAACATTCAACCATAAGCTGTTATATGTCTCTTTAATGTCAGCTCAAGGTGTACTGTAGGTGCCCCCTTTTGAATTAAACCCCCCCTTCCCATCCCCCACTTGACTCAGAAATTTAAATAATCACCCTGAGCGCTTATCACTAGCTGCTGGATCTAGACTCACCTAAAAGTTTAATAGTCCACCAGGAAAATGAAAAGCCGACTGCTATTGCACTTTTGGCAGGGAAAGAGTCAACACATGATTCACCGTCCCATGAGTTAATTGCTGCTTGCAGCTTTGTAAAATCATCATCACTAAAAACAGTCTGTTCCAACTTAATAGTACTTAAATTACTGACCAAACTTTCCACACTGTTTATTCCTAGTGATATCAGCCGAGTATATTTACTTTCCAAGTCCAGCTGCTGAAGCCAAAATAACAGTTGAAGTTCATGTTTGGCTTTTTGTGCAGAAAGTTCTAATCTTTCTTTCTCAGAATTGAACGTAAAAAATCCCCAGAATGAGCCATGAAGGACAAGAAATCTGTGAGCATCAAGACTTGCAAACTTGGCTTTGGAAATGATCCCTATAAAGGAAAATATGGATATGTCACTAGGATTAAACTTCTGCTAAATTAAGAAATCACTACCACTGAGCCAGCTGCGTGTTTTCTCAGTATAATGACAAAAAGAAATAATATTGTTACGGTACACATTTCAGACTTTTACAACTTTGTTTTCCCATTTTAACAACCACACTTTCTAATACAAGCTTGTATTAGGTATTAAGCTTAACAGATCATCACGCCACGACAGAAGTGCTGTCTAATAGTACATGGGTAGTAGAGTGACTATCAAGCCAGCACATTCCGAGGTTCCGAGGCTTGGGGGAATAAAACAAAAGAAGTCATCTAAGGCTCAGAAAGGAATAATACATTTCTTATGTTTTATTTCCCCTAGCCTCGGAGCCAAGTATGAATTTTAATATACCGAAAATGATCTATTGAACGTTTCAAAATACTGCAGTATCACAGTAAACAGAAGCTCGATCTTCAAAATGTAAAACTCCATCAGGTTGAAAACATGCAGAAAGGTTTAAGTTTCAAGAGACCTACGTTTGAAGATAATGCGGAAGTAAGTACCTAAGTAATCAGGACTTTTAAAATAAAATTAATATTATTTGGTACTTTTCACCAAAGAACCTAATATCACATTCTTATATCTTATCCATGGGACAGGGCCATTAGTTGACATTCCATAATTTAGATCGAGCTCATTTTGCATTTCAATAAAACTCGTAAGATGTCAGTTATTGCTTTAACTAGAAAGCAGAAAATAGGTAAAACTGAAGGCTGACACCACAACGTGCACCCCATGATGGCTAAACTTTTATGCATTGGACTGGAATTATTTGCCTGTGGGCAGGGAATTTGAAGGCAAATGTTTGACAGGGCCGATTACTTATCGGCTCCTGTTTTTGAAAAATATCACCCCCCCATCCCCCCATATGTCACATGTGTGACAGTTTTGACACTGAAGCAAATAAGTGGGAGAGAAGGAAATACGATACTTACAAATGAGTCAAACAAAAACAAACTAACAAAAAAAAAAGCAAAGACGTTTTGCATGCAATTATATTGCACTTGTAAGTGATTTCATTTGATCTTGATATGCTTTCAAGAATGCCGCTGAAGTGTGCATAATTCGACACTTCAACGAAACACTCGTTGAGCTTCAGCAAAAGCTGAACAACATTAAAAACCAGTGTTTAACTAAATTTTAGCAAAACCATGAAGAACCACATGAGATTCAGCAGTTGACGTATTACCTTAAGCTGTTCAACGATCGTTAAATCCGTAGGAATGGAAGTTGGGACTTGAAATCGGGAATCGACGATAAGCTTAATTTTATCATTTCAAAATGACATCGATCTAATTGTATAAAGCATACATATTTTTTAGAAAATAAAGATAATTGAAGCTTACCGAATTTATGCAACTTAACTTCGTAATCCAGAAGATCGTTTTCCTTTAGAAATGAGCGCAATTCGGCTTTTTCTTGCCGCAAAGCGAAGTACACTTGAACACGATAAAGGAAAAACCCCAAACCAAGAACAAAAACCGCAAGTTGTCTTATCATCGTGTGAGTGAGGTGTGCATTATCCAACGTTATACAACTATGAAACTTTCACGTTACTTCGTCATCCGTGTAGATCCTCATTGTGTGGAGAGTCTGGACAAAAGATACTTGACAGTTAGGCACTATTCCAAAGCTTTTTCTTCCGAGAAAACGTGCGGACACAACTTTATTAGAGCGGGCTGTCTTGAAGAACCCTTAGCCCGCGGGCGCAGTTTTTGGTCAGTGAACCGATTGCGTGACCATAGATAACGTGACCTTTCATTGAAATATTAACAAACAAAAAACAAAAACAAGGACGGGACATGCAAAGAGGGACAGACGCTGTCATTAACAAATTTAACTTCCCCGTGTACCAGGAGTGATGGTTATACTAACGGGCAAAATGAAACCCCATTTGCAGCAAGTAAGTTTTCCGTGTTAGTGTTGATGGAAAAGTATGACAAGCTTTTCTTAGACACGGAAAAAATGTCATATTTTTCCGTTTCATTTTCAGTTTTTCCGTATTTTTCCAATGACAATATGTGTCAACTTTCTGCTAATTGCTTTTGCTTTGCTCAGACTTTTTGCATTGATGTGGCATTTTTCGTGTTTCGGCAAAGTTGCAAAATTTAGGGTGGGCCTTAGAGCTCTGCCCTCCTGGGTATTAGAGCAGTCCCAAGAGAAATTCAAAACAATGCTTATACAAAATTTAGGGGGGCAAGTAAGTTGCATTATGGGAGATGTGCAAGTGGCGAATGGCAAGGCGACAATTTCTACCATCTCTGTCTGAACTCGGGCTCGGTCTTTTCTTTTCAGCTCCAATTTAAATTCCCTTCTTTTAAGTAACAGGGCTTCTTGGGATAATCGCTAAATAGTTTGAACGGATGCGAAGTCTATTTTTCAGCGACGTTTTCATGGACGTCACCTTTGTCAGATCGTGAAGTCGCTATTGTTATATGCGATGCGCGAGGAAAATCCTCATTCGTTGATGTTCAAAACTGCTGAGCAGAGTTCCGAACCCACGACCTCCCGCTCTGCAGTTAAGCGCTCTACATACCGACTGCACTTATCCAGCCGCGGCGCTGATAACAAAACTCTAGCTTGAACGACAAATGGAATGTATGGCGAGATCACTTATCCTTTAAGAGAATACAAAACAAGAAACATGGAATTTATAGATTGAATGGAAAGAAATAATATTAAGCTTCGAAAAAAGAGGCTTAGAACGTGTTCGTGGAGGAGAAAACTGAAGGTGATAATTCGAATGGCTTTCTTTTGAAGTAGATAGAGGGGTTCAAGGAAGGAGGCATATGTTGATGCCCAGATGAGATTACAGTAGTTGATGTAAGGAAGAAAGAGGGAATTATATAAGGTTTTTAGAGTGACCGAGGGTAACTATCGTCTCGATTTAGAGAAAATTCCTATAACCTCATCGACGTTATCACAGCTGGATGGAAGTAATGTGCTGTTTCAATGAGAGGTTTTCAGGTTCAATAATTCCAAGAATTTTATGTTCCTGTACCCGTGCTATAGGGATGTTATTTATTAAGATGTTTAATTCTAAAGGATTGATCTGTTTATGTGAATGCTTATGCAAGATTTTCCTTCCTTGTAGTCTACCATGTTTTTAAAGACCTTATTTATCTCAGTCCAGGCTACATTTCTCCATGCCAATCTCAATGTTTCAAGAATGTCAAAACTGTATCGGTGCACAGAAATTAACGCTAATAAAATGAAAAAATTCGCGTTAATTTCCTATAATAAAGCAATGATTGGTTAATTGGTGCCTTTGGATACCATGTGGATAAGTGATCATAACTGACGCTTGTCCTGCCTAAAGGACCAACTCCCAAGGTCATTTCTTTTTATCGTTTAGCTTCTTGGGATTCTTTTCTCACAGAGGACCAAAATCAGGACGTTGTGCGTTGAATTGGCTTTGAAGTAAACCACAACGTGGAATCGCTTTATGAGAAAAGTCTGTTCAAACAGTAACGAATACAAGCGATGAAGATTCGGTAATGATAGAAGTGTCTTCCACATCACAAAACTAGAAGAATAAACCATTTTTCAGATCAAGAAAAAAATACGTATTTTATTTCACCTTATATTAACCCCAAACATAACTTCACAAATGGTCTTGTATGTCAGTAGTATATATTAAATAACTCATTTAAAACATAAATATTTAACTATGTAAAAGAGACTATTCACTCGATAAAAAGAACATTGTGCTGTTTGGGAGTCATTTCTGATGGAGTAGTGTGAATTACCTTGTCACTAAAATTTAGAAATTGAAGTTAAAGTGATAACCGCAAATTTGCATAATCGTTAAAATTGGTCAAAATAATGGTCATTTTTCTAGACTTGATAAAGACACTCTTGCTCGTAAATTAAGTATGACTTCGAAAAACGTCCAACTTTCAACGGAATGTGCAAAAATTAAGCCCCTTTCAGATATCAAACGTTTTTCTGCCAACTGAAGATAATGAGCTAGAACAACAGACAACGTCTACTGACATTTCCGTCAATAAAACTGATCACAGGAAACATTGAAAATTCAATTCAAAATAAATTCAGTAAAGAACCACATTCGGCGAGTATGTTTCAATTTGTTACGGTTTTATTTCCGATTACATGTCCAAACGAAATCAAACCGAGAGAATTTTAGATTCAGCACCACTGTAATGACATTGATAGACAAAAAAGATTAGTACTGTTCTGACATCAAAGAAAGTGCAGTCCATTCATTATCCTAGAAATAAGACTTCTAAGCGATGTAACTACATTAGAAACATATACTTGATAAAGAGTGATTCGAAAATGGCTGAAGGTAGAATCAGCCTGAATTAGGAACCAGTCCCTCCAGCTGCTGCAGTGCTGCAGGCGTTGCTTAGTAACAGCGCGGATACAGCAGCGTGACATTGTAATAAACGAGCAAGACGTGGCACTAGTCTTGAGTCTGTAGTCTATACTCCGTAATAGGTCATTAGTCTTGAGTAACAGCAGCAATTGCCTGGGTACTCGGTTCAGAAGTTCATTTATTTGCGTCACGTAAGTTGCGGCGCTTTCTCGGATAAGCTCTGCCTGTTAAGGGAGAATAAAAAAAGAATTCTCTGAGAAAAAATCGCACTTTGTTCCAGGCAACACCATGGCCATTTTAGCTAGTCACTGAAGTTCTTCCAAATCCTATTGATTAACATTCACCTGCTTCATCCGCAGTTCACATTGTCTCTTACACAGTCGATCACATATACTGACGTCATTTCGTCACTGTTTAGAGTATCCTTCTTAAGCATACGAATTTACATAGAAAAGGGCGTGTTTGGAGAGTGATTGAGTTCAAAAGTTAACAGATGTTGTTTAACTTAGCAGTCTGGGCAACTGAGACTTACAAAAAAGTCCTTCGTCCGATTTCCGAGCTCCCGAGTGACAAAATCAAAGATGGCGGCCATGGCATAATGAAAGAAATCGAAAGAAAACAGGGGCACCCAACGACCGAATGTTTCCAAATACGTCAGAAGTGTCTCAGATGGTTTTCTACAAGCCTGTTTGGCTAGTTCGGAGCTTCCCTTAAAACTATTTATCCGTTAGGGTGTCTTGGGGGAACTTTGGTCGTCACGACCAAACGTCGAACTTTTCATTCATCGACTCTAATCCCTTCGATTAAGTACATAAAAAGATCGACGCTTGAATCAACTAAGTTCGACATATCTAAGTTGGGTCGACCCATGAATTAAGATCGAGTGGCCCACATGGGAATCTCTCGAGCGACTTGGTTTCAAACTTCTCATGCGCCGAAACTAATTTACATAAATTACTATAATCTATTTTCACTGGTAAGCATTGTAGACCATTTTAACTCGTGAAAATGAATGGAGTCGCACCAATCAAGTTCGACGTCTGAATATATCATATATATCATTTCGGTCGACCTAAATGGGTATTAAACTCGCTACATGAATAGTACGACGTTCAAACTGGGGCTTTTTCGTCTTATCCGAAACTACCCTGAAAGCACCAGGCCGAAGTTCGAGGACATGGAGTAGCGATACGTTTATCAGAAAATTCTAGGGGACGTTGTCTCTCTGAAGAAACTTTCGCTTGCCCAAACGTATGCCTGCATTGCAGGATAGAGAATGTCAAATGACGACTAAGAAATCAACTCAGACATACAACACCCTAAAACATACCTCATGATCAGTAACTGGACCCTGGTCGATTCCAGTTGTGACAACATCCCAAGATCTAGCTGTTAATATGCAAGCCAGTAAACCATACATCTCTCCTACACCTAATGCTTCACTGCTCTGCTTTACACCATCAATGTCTGACCTGATAAGGGCCTGCCACATCTTACAGTACTGCACGCGAAAATCACTCGATAATGTCTGGGAAGAATAGAAGCAAATTTCAATCAGTTTTTGTTTTCCCCACACACAAATTCACTCAAAGAACAGTTGATTTGGCAGCATGCTTATGATATACTTGGAACATTCATATTTGGTTGTTGCGTACTACACTTTTGGCCATACCACAATGAGCACGATTCAGTCAAAGAGGCCGGAGAAAAAAAGCCAAAAAAAAACAACAACAACATACAACAGGACCCGAAAATTTTTATGAAAATATTTTCAGGTGGCCCTAGCCTGTGGCAAGGCTCTACAATTATGATAATGGTTTGCCTTTAAGAGATCGCAGTGCTGCGGCATAAGAAGTCTGCGTGACAGGTGTTTGATAGCCTACGTCACAGACACTCTAAACCTTCTGTATATACAAATGGTCTAGACGATACTTGGGCCGGCAACGCAGGCTAGCGTTCGAAAGGGAGGGAGAAGGAAATTTGGGTGCAAGACCGCGTGCAAGGGAGAAGAGAGGAGGGAAACCCTCCCCTTCCCCTCACGCGCTTTTCGCGCTTCTCGTGCGCCCAGAATCCCCTTTCTCTCTCCTTTCAAACGCCTGCCACGCAGGCTACGGCATAAGGGGTAACATAGCTTGTGAGCGTGATCTTTTACATTGTATGTCCTCTCTTGTTTAAGGCTTTTAAACGCGTAAGGAAAGGGGTTTTGCACTTGAACAGCACGCACATGAGATTTCTAGTCTTCACCCTTTGACACCCCAAACAGATCGTGAGTTTTCCCCCGCGCTATTGAATGAGACGGTCATTTTGGGTGTAACAAAGGTATTAGAGGACGCACCTGATACAATCCATGGTCTAAGAAGACAATCTCTACTCCACGCTTTGGACTGCGCCGAACTAGAATATTACCCGGATGTGGATCACAGTGAACGTACCCATTAACAAATATCATCTCACTATATAGAATACCAAGCTTATGTGCAATCTGAAATGAGGGCATATCAACAGTTAAACAAACCAGATAGAAAACAGCTGAACCCCACATGCCCCACTCCAAATACACCAACAGGCAGCTTTGGCAGACATTTTTGAGTGCTGAACATCAATCGGAGGTGGACTTTTTGCATCCTTAGGCAATGGTTTTGCCCAAATTACCGGGCAAAACGTCTTATAGGATTAGAGACACTTAGCAATACAAATTTGTTAGCATCAAGGCATATAAAAATGGAAAAGACCTCACTTCCGGTGGATGTGCACGTCGCTAAAAAAATTCCTTTGCTTAAGCTCCCTAATGTCAAGAGTCCCACAGGCTGAGTTCTAAACTTGATTCATTTTTTCCCTCTGGTGAGGAGATGCCACAAATTCTACGGTAACGTTAACCGGATATTTTGCGCTGCTGCTTGTTTCATAGTGTCAAAGTAAAAATGAAGAAGAGAATCAAACAAGTACACACCTGTTCCAAGACATTTTTAAACACTGCTCCATTTAATGCTGCCTGCCAGGAATTTGGAACAACTTTTTCAAGTAACTTTTTACTGATTAAATTTAGGCCAATTTTACACAAAAGCTTTTGTCTAACTGACCATCCTAAATGTGAAGTAACTGTTCCAGAATGATTTTTCTTATGAGAGAGGAGGTTATTTTGGCCTAGTATGGAAGCAGAACAAAGGAAAAACATATCGGTTTCCCCTGGGACTTGAACCCATGACTCCATGAAACCGGTTTTTTTAGTTACGCACGGGAATCAGCGTCGCTGTATCATATTTTCTATTTTCCCTGGTCTGATTTTGAATCTTTTTAGCATCTGCGCTTACAAAGGAAAATGGGCAACATATGCATATACAAAGGAAATAATACAATTATCACTGCAAGACATTATAAAAGTAGTGACCACAAAACGCCCTTCACATCATTTACTTACTAGTTATAGTTTATATGCTAACCATTGGTAAAGTTTATCTGCGGGCCTTAAGAGCAAGCAAGACACAGCTAAGTATATATGGTAGATTTGCATGAAACTTTTCCAAACATGAGATCTAAACAAAAAAGAAGTTTTAATATTTTTACTTGCCTCATCAGAAGAAATTTTGAAACTCTGCATATAAGGTAAATCATCAACTTTTCCTCCTTCACAAAACTCCATTGTTAACACCCGCTTTGTTGAATACTCCCAGTAAATTTCAGGAATCTTAAAAGCAAAAGATAATTGCCCAGTCCATGGCAGGTTAATCTCAACCTTATTCCCAAGTCTCTCTAACACTCCTGGGGATGTGTAGGAAAGAAAACTGAAAACTAGGTTGCTTAACTACCAGCAGTATGTAGCTTGCACCAGAGAGAAAACTAAACTCTGGCCCAACCTGTTTACCATGTTTTGAGAATGCACCATGATTACCCTGTTCAAAAAGGCATTGTCAATTTGCCAATAAGGATGAAAGTAATTTAAAACTCACTTCTGGTATAAATTCCGTTGAGGGCCCAGGACAAGGATATTGGCGCTGCTTCACAGACATCACTAACTGGGGTTAAATTATGTCTCGGATGCAGGCTAAGCAGTGTTACCAATACCTGTTATAAACCTTTGTGAAGAGAAAAAGTTGAACAAATCTTCTTGTCTGCAGTTTGGGGCCTACTGATCATTCAAACTAAGTCCAATATGTGAAGTTTAACCACTCTGTAATTAGTCATGCCTCCACAGCCTCATGATATGGTGAACATCACTTTAGAAGTTGAATTACTTAGAAACCCACCTTAACAAAGGGATATTTCTTGAAAAAATGCATCATTTTTTCTGCATTTTGACCCTCAAGTTCAAAATCCAGTTCAAGTGGAAGATGTTTCTTTGATTCATCAACAAGCCATTTGAACTTGAAATCAGGAAACAACCAACTGACTGCATCAGCAAGAATCTAAAAACATTCAAACTCAGAATCAGATTCAGCTTATTTCATCACAATTCCCAAGATTGGAATTTGAGGCTGTTATTCAATGCTTATTCTTTGCAAGTACAAAACAGATTTTACAGTAAGATTATCAGCAATCTGGGACAGATTAACACAGATTAGAAGTGCTGAGCTGAGTTGAGTTTTGCTGACATACATCAAAGGAAAGTAGTAAATATCTTTATTACTGTTAGTAATTACAGAAACAGAATGAAATAAGATGCACTATAATTTGAGTACATAACTAAAGAAAAAGAAAGAAGTTTATTTGACTTCTTCTCTTGCCTCCTGGGGTTCAAAAATGATTTGAAATAATTATTTCTGAAAGAACCATGATACACTACGACAATTGCTTATATTACAGTGGACCCTAACCAAAACACAGTCGAACTTTCCATAAGCGACCACCCAAAATGCGAACATTTAGTAATAGATTACGGGAGGTGGTTGATCATTAGAATTCAACCACAGGGGTTCTCTTCCAAGGATAGATCCTCAGACACATCTTTTTTCTTGGCAGAGAATTTATTGCCTGCAATTTTGAGGTTATGTATACATGTATTTTCATGTTGTTACTGAAATTTCTGTGTATACTCTGAGTGGCATGGTACATACACTGTGAACATATATGCATGCCACACCATGCATCATGTAGTCACTTTCAAGAGGTTTTAAAAACAATGGAAAATAATATTATTATATGCCATGATGTCAAAAAGTGATCGCAGCCGCTTATTAGATGTGGTTGTTTATAAGAGGTGGCGGTTTGGATAGGTGGTTGCTTATATAGAGCCAGGGGCCTAGTAGTAGGCTTATGGGGATGTGCTGCTGGATGGGGTCGTATTTTCATGACTGGATTTACTATTACGGAGTTGTATTTTTAGAAGAGTTACTAGAATGCTAGAATGGGGTTGCACATTTTCAGGATTTGGGGGGTCAGAAAATTCAGGTATGTAGAGCGTTAAAAATAGAAAGATTTACACCACAGTAAGTGTAACAAATGTGTCAGTTCACTTCAGGATGACCTAGTTAAAAGGCTTTATAAGGTTGATGCAAAGTGACTAAGTTGGGATTGTGAAAATTACTTTGCTTACAAGAGGTGGTCATCCATGGAGGTTTGACTGCATTTGAAAACTGTAAAACACAACCAGCATTCACCTCAAGAGTTTTTATGTCAACAGCAGCATGTTTTTGTACATCTCTGTGCTGCACCTTCACCGCTACAACTCTTCCATCATGTAGTGTTGCCTTGTGGACTTGTGCAAGAGAGGCAGCTCCAATGGGTTTGTCCTCAAAATGTGCAAACATCTTTTCCACTTTACCATTGAGTTCTTCCTCAATGACATGTTTTATGTCACACAAGGGGCTCTGAGGTGCATTGCTGTGAAGGACCTTCATGGTCTGTACATATTCAGGAGGCAGAAGGTAGTCTAATGACCCTACATACTGTCCAACCTTTATGTATGCTCCTCCATTCACACAACACAAGTCACGAAGGCATAAAGCAGATCTCAAATGAACCTGATGTCAAAAAGAAAAAAAAATAATGCAGTCTAAAAAGAACTCAACACCAAAAAAGGCCAAATGTGACTCCTGATCTTAATCTATTATCAAATTTTTCTGCTACATGGAATTCACAAAACATTCAAAGCAAATTAGAAAGAGAAACTACAGTCAAGTGTACCCCACCCAAAGATTGCAGTAATGAACTGAATGTTTGAAAAATGAATCCTATAGCTGTTGCAACAACCAGTATCAAAATCAAATCTACGTTTGTGCATCACTAACGAGCAGTGAATTTTTCACAATAACTCCTCTGTATTCGGTCAAATTGAAAAATCTTTCAATGGATAAAATTGCTTTGAAGACATTCACATCAAATTCAGGAAAACTGAGGTGGCAGAAATTTCATAACTACCTCACGTGTGAATTCACTGCTCATTACGTATGAAGAAATCCAGAGATGAAACTGGAGTATACAACTATCAACTTCGACCCTTGAATAATAAGTTCATTGATACAATCTTGTGGGTACATTTAAACTGGCTTGACTGTACATTACATTATCATAAATAATTACTTTTGATTTTGATCTTATGATCTACTTTACTGTCAGTGTTATGTACACTTCAAAACCTTCCCGAATATTTAGGAGGCATATTGTTCAATTTATTGCATGGATTTAACTTTGCAAATTCCTTTACACCTGGTAAAATTCATCTTAATGACACTCCTCAAGTGATTTCTTTCCACTTGTAAAGTACTGTTGTTAACTGTGTGGAAGTTTCTTTTGAATTAAGTGGAAGGAATATACATGATTCAACTGTGTACCTCAGTTTCACAATGAATTTGCATTACTGTACACTTGACCATAGTAAATATTAAACTTTGTTATTTAGACATTTCTTAATTAGCACTTTTACAGACGTTTTGAGGCTGTTCAAGACACTCACAGCAGATAGTTACTTGTTTTATTGAGTCAAAAAATTGTCGCACTTTACACCCCAATTTTTTAACACAGTTAATTAAACATTACTGTTCATGCTTTAACATTACTTAAGCAGTCATCCTAGACTATGCATAGTTTTGGCAAAACTTGTAATTTTGATATACTTGTATAAGATCTTAAAATAGTATGTTGATCCACTGAAAAGTGTTCAATAAATATAATCTTAAGTTGGCTTAAACAAATTAAGGCAAATATGTTAATAAACAGTAATTTTGTATAGGTAATAACATGATTTGTAGTGATATTTGGCATTAACCACGAGTGATATTTCAAAATTGTTATACGTAATTTCACCAGCAGTTAGGTGAGTGAAATTTGAGACAATTTTGAAATATCACATACAAATCATGCCATTATATTTGTTTACACTACTACCCACAAATGGTTTGTAATTTTCACGTATAGGTATTTCAAATTAAGTTGAAATACTACTACTCTAAGGCAATCAAATAGCAGAAATTTATCATGTAGAGGTGTAAACACCAAAACAAACCTTTTCCTTAACTCACCTGAGATTTAACTTGTGAATATTCAACAGAGTTTGGGTCCACTCCCCAGAGGGACTTTTTGTAGTCATAACTGATTAGAACAACCTTGTTGATATAAAATAAATTGCCATTATGGACTAAGATGGATGTATTAACCCTTTCAGCCCTGCTATCAAGGTATAAATTCTCATTTGCTGCACTACAAATTTCCAATACAAACAGTGGGGAGAAGTTGTTTAAGAACAACTAAGATAGTACACATGCTCTGATTGGCCAAGAGGTGTGTTTGCATGAGAGTATGTAAACATGGTTAATCATGCAAGCGCAAATTTGAACAAGTTTTTTAGTTGAAAACTTGACAAGTTTACTTTATTTACCCATTCCCTCATCAACTGAAACTTGGAAAATCTTTACAAACATGCTGTGTCAAATTTTTTCACTTAGACTGATATTTCAAGTGCAAAAAATCCGTATTTTGGAAAGCATCCTTTTGGCAAAACAAGAACGTGCAAGACTTTGTGTACAAGACTTCATGGCTGGTTGGAATTTCTAAGATATGGCCCCTGTATCCTGTAGTTGCTCCATCTCCTCAGAAATTTCTAGCCAATGATCAAATAATTATTTCTGAAAAAAATGCTTTAAACAGCTTGGGACGGCAAAAAACCCAAACACATGACTAATTTAACATTTATGTTCAAATCTGTACAAATATTTTTGGAACCTCAGCAACAGAGGGTGGTCTGCCTGTGGTCTTTGCTGGACACATCTTAATCTCTTCTTGATTTACACAAACCTTACAAGCCAAACACAATTACAAGTTCTGTTGTCCTAGTGCAAAATGCTTTTAGGCTTCGTGTTAAAAGCTCTAAATTAATAACCTTACTGATTAATATCAACTCACCACCCGAGCTGCCCTTCCAACTCGCACCAAACCATTGGATGTTAATTGACGTTTGACTTCGTCTGGGCCATACAGAACAACACCACATATACCAGCTAAACCAGCGCCAGCGCTTGCATACGTCAAAGATTTTAAAAACCGCATTGATTCTATAAAAACAAGAAAACTTTAAGACAACTTTTGCTCTTCAAAGAGCTTGTTCGGCGGTCACTTCGCGCTTCGCGCTAGTTACGTAATAGGTATCGGTCAGCAGTCTCTCCAGAAAAGTTATACCCGTCATGTAAAATTTTTGTTGTTTTTTCTCTTTTTTCTTTCCTTCTCGTTTTTGGTAGCCATGAGACCCTGAGGACGAAGTTGGGCATTACTGTTTCTTCGCGGATTTCTTTGCAAATACTAGAAGCGGGGCGGGGAAGGCGCTTCCACATCTGGGCTATAACAGGGACCGCGGAGCAAGGTGAAAAGTGGGAGGGCTGACAATTGAAAATAATTTTTCAATAAACGACCAACATACACGGTCAGTTCAGATTCAATGCAAGAAAAGACGCGATTACAATTTTAGTATAGAAAATACTACACTGAAAAGATCTGAAAAATTTCTAACTATGGCTGTTCAGGCGTTCACTGTTCAAGTAATGTAATTCTTCTTGCCATCGAATATTTTATTGATTCGAAAGGAGAAAGACAAAATATAAAACTTTTATCAACTCAAAACAACTACTCAGCTTCGTTTGGCTTGAAAAAGCTAGTAATTTTCTTCATTTCGTCTGATAAAACTGATAATAAAAACTCTGCCAGAGCTGGAAGTACAAAACACGCTGCCGAACGAAGCGAAGGGGTGGCCATGGAGTTTAATTTGATCAAGGGGCAAGTCGGCCCCAGGACACAATTACCGCGAAAAGCACAGGAGCCCCACAAAATGCCTGACGTTTGAAATTAAAGAAAATACAGAGAATATAGCGGAATATAGACGGAAAAAAAAACTTGTTTCAAGTCTTTTTTTATTTTAATTATTTTTCTTTTTAGCGCAAAAAGTGGGGGCGGGGGCGCAAAAAAGTGGTGGGGCCGCGGCCCTACCAGCCCCTCCCCCTCCGCGGTCCCTGCTATAACAGTTGGCGGGTATGTGTATGCAGAGTATGTTGCCTCTCTGACTGCAAAAGGCTTAGCCACAAGTTGCTTGGCGGCTTTCTGCTATTTGAAGCAACGTTCTGACAACTTCCGTCATTTGGAGCAGCTTTTGATTTTGGGGGCAACTTGATTAAATTTTAAAACCCTAAAATACTTGTTGGGAGGACGACAAATTGTTGCTGAAAATTATATGTCCCCCCCGTTTTCACTGAATAATATAGACACTACCCCCAGGTTACTTTTCAGTTGAAACAAACTGCAAAAAACAAACAAACAAATAAACATACATACAAACAAGGACTAAACTACAGTTTTGAACACAACACCGAACATCTTGAGATAATTTTTGCCATTGACTCGAACTCAAGTGGACATAAAAATATGTTTGCATTTTTCTTTAGTTGTTTTAATCACTTTGGGTCAGGAGTAGTCCATAAGGCGCACGTCCTGGGTACGAATTAAGTTTGATGTGGTGCGCATGGCACGCATTTTTCAAATGCCTCCATAATTAAACGGTCACTTTAACAAAAAAAATAAAGTTTTGACGTTGGAATGCTTAAAATAGTCCTTTGAAATATGGGATTTTGTAATTTTTTCTCTTTCAGGGTCTCTTCTTCGAACTAGAGTGGAGAGACAAAAATTATATTGTTCTTGGTCTAGGCAGTATACCGACAAAAGCACGGCGTGCCGTAAAAACTAGGCTCGATTGCCAGCCGAGGATCAAAGACCGGACCCGGGAGACGGCGGAAATCGAGCCTATGTAAAAACTGAACGCGTTCTTGCTTAGACTATGATTGGTACCACTAGTTAGTTGGTCCCGTCCACACGAATCCAGATAGTTTTGAAACCCCATACTTTTTACCTGAATCGCCTTTTCGTCCACACGTACTCCAGTGAATCCGTTCTCCGAAATCGCATCTTTATGAAAACGGTCTCTAGAGCGTTTTTTTTTGTTTTTGTGTCTGACGGGTTTGTGAACTCGTACACACGAATGAAACGGGATGGTTTCGAAATGCGGTTTCAGCCTGCCCGGACAGAACATGGCCGTAGTTTACCAGATAACCGGGGGGATACTCCAGGGAATTCTTCGTGGGGAGTGTACCGCCCGGTTCTCCAAATCCTGACTCTTATTTCAGACCAAAAAATGTCATTTTCCTCACCCGTTTTAAGACCTGGACTCTAAAATCTATACCCCTTTTGCACACCTGGCAAAGGCAGAGATAAGAACGTCAACCCTAAAAAAGATTTCTTGAAATCCATTTCTAATTCGCATCTTACTTGCGTTCCTTCTTATTCATTTGGAACTGAAACGAAAAAAAGGTCATACACTCCCGTAGTTCCCTCGAAAACCATACCCGATTCCAGACAATACAATCCATTTTCGCATTTTTTTTTATTGTTATGGCGATGTCATCCTTAACGTGACTCAAAGAATTATTTTGCGTAATGTCAGGAGCCATAGTTGCTATGTAACTTCCATTGTACTTAAATTAATAACTGTGTTTAAGCATTTTAAACAATGAAGTCAACACATAAACTTTATATGCAAAAAAAGTAATCGAAGGGCCATTTTGACAATCTATTCAAATTGGAAGGGTCGAAAATGGGTCGTAAAGACAGTAAAAAGATGGGCAAGCATGGAATCGACAATTGATCATTTAACCTCTGTTCGGAAAATCGCATGAGTCAACTTTGCTCGATCAACCGTGCCAATTTATTACCCATTATTTGGAACCAAGCAATTGAATAAATTATTAAAATTCAAGAAGGTATTTAGTGCTTATTCCACGTTAACATAGCATTGACTCGGCCGGCTGCAGGCAGAAGACTTGAAGACTATGGGTGGCCAAGTTACTCGTCATGACTTCGAATGGTCGTACACAGCCGAACCACATGCTACGAGAAGAAAAGAAATTCTTGGTAGGCTGACATTTTACTGTTTTAGCCCCCCTTAACCCAATGATTTTATTAACAAGAACATAAAGAAATGCATAAAGAACATGGCCCTGTCATACAGGAGTTTGGCATCACTACTTGACTTTTACAAAACAAACTAAATTTTTTTGTTGAGTCCTTTTTGATAGTTCATTTGAGATATTCAGAGCCCTTAACTGAAAGCATGAATTTCTTTTTCTATTGAGTTTACTATAAACAAGGCTCAGTTCAGACGCCGAACTTTTCATGACCTAAATTATTCAGACAGGCTGAATTGATTCAGACGCCGATCTTAATTGCAGCTGAACTAAGTCCAAAAGGCGAAAATGCTCATTTTGGTCCACTTGCTTATTTTTGACCAAACTTAGACCCCAAGGGCCGAAAAAAATTTTGTTGACACCCCCCCCTCCCCTCTTACTCAGGGTCTGGCCATGGATGACCGCCCCCCCGCTTATCTGAAGGTCTCGATCCACCACTGCAAAATAAGTTCTAATAATTTATGCATTAGGTTCGGTACATGAAAAATTCGGCTTCTGAATCAAAGCCGTTTCAAAGTCGCTCCAAAGACGAAATTCAGTCCCAGCCTGGCTAGGCGAAAAGAACCGGGCTCAGCCGTTCCAAATCGAAACAGGTGTTCCTAATTGATTCAGACGCCGTACTTTTCATGTACTTAATTCAATGTATTAGGTTCGGCTCATGAAAAGTTCGGCGTCTGAACCGGGCCTTAATTAGTCAGGCTTTATAGGTGGTTGTAGCGGAAATTTGCTAACTAGCTTATTTCTTTTTCAAAATATGTCTCCGTTCCCCGGGGGGGTTACTTGGGTTAATTTTTGCTGGGTATGTGCCCCTGGCCTCTCAGAGCCCCTACCCCATTATAGTCTATTCTATGGCCAATTATAGACACCATATTAGTCACTCTTGGGAAAATATGTAATTTTTGCGATCCCAACTTAGTCACTTTCTTTTTATGTATCTACCTTATATCAAATGAAGAACACTCTACTTTTCACCAACAGTACGTTTCAGAAAATGTGCCTCCCCATTCTAGTAACTCTATTGAAAATGTGACCCCATTATAGTCACTCCAGTCATGAAAAAGCGACCCCATCCTGCGGCACATCCCCATTAGCCTCTTATAAGGAAGTACGCCCCCCCGGGCTCCGTTCTAAGTATTCCTCATCTTGTCGCATAAAAGGTTGTCGTATGCTAATACGACAGATGAGGTGAATTGTTATTTATTTTTTCCGACTTCATGACGTTTCAACATTAATAATTTCTAACTAGCTATAAACTATGTTATTGGGGGCCATCACTTTATATCGCTAGTCTCAGAAAAACAAAAACATGCAGTTTCACATGATAGCCCTATTTATCGGCTATACCAGTTTTCCTTTAGTAACAAATATCATTAACAATCCCGCCCTATGCATACATCGACATACACCTGGTATTACACGATTAACAGCTCATTAGGCTTAAGCGCGTTTTTACTCGCATACCCTAATTGGCATAATTTCCAAAGTTCCGTGGATCAGAAGAAAAGGAAGAAATGTTTAGTCAAAATTTTGGCAGCATTGGCTTTTAATTGTAGCGCCCAGATGGTAGTAACATGAAACTCTCCGGTGCAAACTGGGGAAACGCGATCGATTTTTCGTGAAAGTTTTGTAGTGCGAATAGAACACAGGTGTATTTAGTTCCACCACGAAATAATCAGTTAGGATTTAGGTTTTTGTGAATAAGAGTAGCTCGTTGTAAACAGTGCGCAGTTGACCAATATCCTGTAAACTGGGCAATATGAACTTGTTTGAATACCTAACATCTTGTATCCTTCAGTATTTCTGAGTGACATAACGGTCTTGTCTCTCTCCATTTATGGGCCAAGAGGGTCGCGAGAGAACGCACTCGCGTCTCCTATCGCGTGCTGCTCTCGCGTGACTTCTCGCGACTCTCCCAAATGGAGAGCTTGATAACCGCGTCGAACCGCGTCACTTCCATCAACCTCGTTCCCAGGGCTTTTCCCTTAGAAAATGGCAAGGGCGGGAACAAGGTTGCCTTGCCTCATGGTTGTTACCTAGAAGACTGGGTAGGGGCGCTCTCCCATGTTTTCTGGGGAAAAGCCATAGGGAGACAATCTTGAATTACTAAGACTTATTCTATTCTTTTTCTAAGCCAAGTATCCTGAGATCAAGAAACTGATGGGCAGTGATCCTATCTTCAAGTACCAAATCTTGTTGTTGATGTCGCTTCAACTCTCACTGGCCTACATAATGCGTGACCTGTCTTGGACCAATCTCTTCATAGCATCCTACTGCCTGGGTGCCGTGGCAACCCATGGTCTCATCGTGGGAGTTCACGACATTTCTCACAACATCGCATTCGGAAACGGCCGTCCCTTACTGAACAGGCTGTTTGGTATCCTAGCTAATCTACCGACCGCGTTTCCATCTTCCATTGCCTTCAAGAAATATCACATCTTACACCATCGTTATATGGGTGTCGAAGAAATTGATCCGGACCTGCCGACCAAATTTGAGGCTTGGATTTTCTGTATTTCCATCGCTAAGGTTATGTTAGCCTGCGTGCAGCCGATAACTAAACTCTGATTAGTACCGTCTGCGAAGCAGCGCGGAGATCATTGTTCTGGACCCCCAACGGACTCAACGAATTACCGGAAGTGCGTTTCGAATTCCCCTTCAACCTGATTGGCGATCACGGCAAACAAAACAAAGGCCTTTTTTAACTGGCCAATCGTGGCGCGTACTCAAATCTGGGTACACAGCTGGAAGTCCAGAACAAGGATTTCGGCGCTGTTTCGCAGACGGAGTTAACCAGAGTTTAATTTCGTCTGCGCGCAGGCTAAGGTTATGTGGGTGATTCTGCAACCGTTCTTTTATGCCATCAGACCAATGGTTGTTAACCCGTGGACACCAAGCGGCTTAGAAATCCTTAACATTGTCGTTCAGCTCGTTTTCGACTACTTGGTCGTACAGTTCTGGGGTTTAAAGTCACTTGTGTTCATGGCCGCTAGTACAGTTCTCGGCATGGGTCTTCACCCTTTGGCGGGCCACTTCATCGCTGAGCATTATATGTTCGACGTAGGCTGCGAAACGTATTCTTACTACGGTCCAGGAAATTGGCTGACTTTCAACGTTGGGTATCACAACGAGCATCACGATTTTCCCAGCATTCCAGGCTCCAAGCTTCCGTTGGTCAAGAAGATTGCAGCAGAGTACTACGACAACTTGCCGTATCATACCTCCTGGACAAAGGTGATCTGGGATTTTATTACTGATCCAAGAATTGGTCCATGTGCTCGGGTTAAGAGAGCGCAGACTAAAAAAATCAAATGACGTATAAATTCAAACAGTTGTGCATTAGAAACTATTTTACCAATAATCTAGTAAGCGCTAACGGTGCCTTTCTTTATATGATGTAGTGGTGTGAGCGTATGTATCTCTGTGGCTTTGTGTGTTCAGATTTCTGTTGCAGGAGCCAACAGGGTTGAAGGTACTGTGAGTTGATGCTAGGAACCAATGAGATTTGGGATTCAAACATGAGATTTCTGAACCGACTAAAGGCCAAAGAAGGGCACTTTGAGACAGCCATTTTGGTTCTTCACAATTTTGTTCTCTTTTACAATAGCTAAAGGTGTTTAAAAGCATAACATTTAGATATCTTTATGATTCAAACGCTGAAGAGAGTGATGCAGCTGTTTAAGTAATCATGTTGCAGTGTTGCTGCTGCTTCAAGATATTTATGACCTAATCCGGCTATCCCGAACTGTACAACGTATGAATGTCATAACTTTTGAGTATGTTTGATTTGCTTCAAGGTGAAGTATAAATAAATCATATATTGTCTTAAGTTGGAGATATGCGGCGGAATTATGTTTTTCGAAGTTTAACAGACTTTGTACGTTGTTGTAAATTATGTGCACACGCTTGCTGCTTAACAGTCATAAAAGTAAAGATGTGCAGTAAAGATGCATAACTTTTGAACAATAGTGTTATAGTGAATAAACTTGGAAGAAGCCAGTTGACAAAACAGTTACAGATTGTTTAATTAAGTGGAATAACATGAGATCAGTAGAAATCAGTATTTCGGTAGTCTGATAATTTAATCACGCAAGCACGAATTTGGACAAGTTTTTGAGTTGAAAACTTGACAAGTTTACTTTATTTATCCATTCCCTCGTCGGCTAAAACTTGGAAAATCTTCACAAATATGCTGTGAATATTTTTTTTCTTTAAGTGATATTTGAAGCGAGAAAAATCCGTATTTTGGAAGCATCTTTTTTGCAAAACAAGAACTGATATGCCTGCAAGACTTCGTGTACAAGACTTTGCGACTGGTCGCAATTTCTAAGACATGGCCCTGTATCCTGTAGTTGCTCCATCTCCTCCGATATTTCTAGCCACTGATCAAATAATTATTTCGGAAAAAATGCTTTAAACAGCTTGGGACGGCAAAAAACTCTAACACATGACTAAGTTAACATTTACGTTCAAATCTGTATAAATATTTTTGGAACCTCAGGAACGGAGGGTGGTTTCCCTGTGGTCTTTGCTGGACACATCTTAATCTCTTCTTGATTTACACAAACCTGTACTGGCCAAACACTGATACAGGTTTCTCTGAATAATTTAGACACTGCCCCCTTCCCGTCTTAAAACCCCCTCCCCTCCTGATAATTATTGCACAATCCCGGTTACCACGAATTTTATTTCCAGGGTACATTGCAATTGAAACAAACTGCAAAAAAAACAAACAAACAAACATACATACAAGCAAGGACTAAACTACAGTTATGAACACAACATCGAACATCTTGAGATAATTTTTGAGTTAATTCGAAGTCAGTGGAGATAAAAATATGCTTGCATTTTTCTTTAGTAGTTTTTTGGCAAGGGAATGATCACACACGCATTTTTCAAATGCTTCCATAATTTATGTGGTCACTTAAACATGAAAAAATTAAAGTTTTGACGCTGGAGTGCTTAAAATTGTCGTTTGAGATAAAGGGATTTTGTAATTTTTTCTCCTGTAGGGTCTCTTCACTGAACAAGAGTGGAGAGACAAAAATTATATTGTTCTTGGTCTCGGCGATTATTCCAAAGAAAAGCATGACGCGCCGTAAAAACTGAACGCGTTCTCGCTTAGACTATGATTGGTACCGCTAGTGGAATCCGGACGTTTCGTACCCACGGACGTTTCGTACCCAGACGATTCGTACCCAAAGTTGAGATGATTCGTACCCAACGCTAAGATGATTCGTACCCAAAGCTTAGTTGATTCGTAACCAACTGCCGTTTTGATAGTAACACATTTTTAATCATATCTCTCTCAAAACAATCTAAAATAAACATTTGTATAAATCAGAACGACTCGTTACCTACGCGCGAGTTAGATCAAATTATAACCACCGCTCACTTTCATTTGCGTAGACTCGTGTCTGAACTTGTCGAATCATAAACTTTTGTTAGTTCATGCGCTTTCACGCGATCCATTTTGTTAACTCGTTCGCTCTCACACGAGTTAGATGAAATTAACCACCGCTCACTTTCATTTGCGTAGACTCGTGACGCGTGAGCGGCGCCGATACTAGAGGAGGTGAGACTTCAGATTAGTGAAAGCCTTAACTTAAACTATGAAAACACACTGCTTTGGGTACGAAGCATCTAAGCTTTGGGTACGAATCATCTTAGCGTTGGGTACGAATCATCTCAACTTTGGGTACGAATCGTCTGGGTACGAAACGTCCGTGGGTACGAAACGTCCGGTAAGCCCGCTAGTTAGTTGGTCCCGTCCACACGAAGCCAGATATTTTTGAGACCCCATACTTTTTACATGAATCGGCTTTCCGTCCACACGTACTCCAGTGAATCCGTTCTCCGAAATCGCATCTTTATAAAAACGCTCTCTAGCTAGAGTGATTTTTCTGGATCTGACAGGCTTGTAAACTCGTATACACGAATGAAATGACAGGGCCGTAGTTTATCAGATAACTTGGGGTACTCCTGGGAATTCTTGGTGCGATTTTGTGCCGCCCGGTTCTCCAAATCCTGACCCCTATTTCAGACCAAAAAATGTCAATTTCCTCACCCGTTTTCACATCTGGCAAAGGCAGAAATTATGCCATCATTACTTAGATTACTGAACGTCAACAAAAAGATTTCTTGAAATCCATTTTGAATTCGCATCTTACTCGCGTTCTTTCTTATTCATTTGCAATTGAAACGACAAATACGTTCACGACTCTCCCGTAGTTCCCTCGAAAACCATACCCGATTCCAGACTAAAATGGACAAAGTCTACGTGATATAATGAAGTACCCCCCGACATTCAATTTTGGTGTCTGATGCTTGGTTGATATGTCAACCATAATTTGCCTTAATTTTCAATTCAGAAAAATGAATGGATTGTGTTTAAGCATTTTAAACAATGAAGTCTACACATAAACTTTATATGCAAAAAAGTACTCGACGAGCCATTTTGGCAAACAAAAATAATCTATTCAAATCAGAAGCGTCGAAAATGGATCGTAAAATAGTAAAAACTCGACAAAGAAGCATGAGGTTGAAAATTCCTCATTTTAACCTCCGTTTGAAGATTGCATGAGTCACCTTGCTCGATCAACCGTGCCAGTCTATGTCCATTATTTGGAACGAAGCAGTTACAAAAATGTATTAAAATTCAAGAAGGTATTTAGTGTTTATTTCACGTTAGCATAGCATTTATCATTGACGCGGCTGGCTGCAGGTAGACGTAGGACTTGAAGATGGTTGGCCAAACTACTCGCTGTGACTTCGAATGGCCGTACACAGCTGAACCACATGCTACGAGAAGAAAAGAAATTCTTGGTAGGCTGACATTTTACTGTTTTAGCCCACCTTGACCCAATGACTTTACTCATAACGATTACATAACGAACATGGCCCTGCGAGAGAATGGCATGACTACTTGACTTTTACAAAAGAAGCTAAATATTTTTGTAGAGACTCTTTTTGTAGTTCATTTGGGTTATTCAGAGCCCTTTAGAAAATGTGAATTGTTTTTTTTTTCTATTGAGTTTACTATAAACAAACATGGATTCAAATTATAAATATGTGGGGCTTAATTAGTCAGACTTTATTGCTAACAAAAGCAAAATCTGTTTCACATTCTCTCCAAGCGGTTTAAAAACATACAGCTGATATAAAACAAGAATGGTACAAACTGGTGAATTTTCACAAGGTGATTCTAGGGGAAAATTCGCTAACTAGCCCATTAATTTTTGAAAAGATGTCTCTGACCTAAGTATTCCTCATTTTGTCGCATGCAAGGTTGTCGTATGCTAGCTAATACAACAGATGTGGTGAATTGTTATTTATTTCTCCGATAATAATAATAAAAATAATAATAATAATAATAATAATAACAAATAATAAATAAATAAATAAAAATAAAAATATACACTTAGATGTGTGTGAATTAAAACAAATAAACTAATATATACATGCTATAATTAATAAAAATATAGACATGTTTGTGTACAATGTTAGAAATTGTAGGATTGTAGTTCAAGAATGACGTAGAAAACAGCGAGTTGGACATTTCTCGAGCAAAAAACTTTCCAGGTCCAATTTCTTAATTTGTCTTTTAAAACTGTTCAAGTCACATTGTGTCCGTACATTTCCCGGTAATTTGCGCCATAAATAAGGCCCCAGATATCTGATAGAATGTTTCCCATTATTTACTGTATTATTTGTCGGGGGAGTCATTTGGAGCCATCGCGTTATATCTGCTAGTCTAAGAAAAAAAAAACATGCAATTTTGCATGAGTGCGCTATATATCGACTATATTGTTTTCCTTTAGTAACAAACATCATTTATCATCCCCGCCCTAATTAATGCATACATCAACATACACCTGGCATTACACAAATGACAACTTATTAGGTTTAAGCTTTTGTTACTTGCATACCCTAAATGGCATATTTTCCAATGCTCCGTGGATCAGTAGGAAAGGAAGAAACTTTTAGTCAAAACTTTGCCAGTATTGGCTTTTATTTGCAGGGCCGAGATCGCAGTCAGTATAAAACTGTCGGGTGCAAATCGAGGAAAACGTGATCGATTTTGCGGGAAGTTTTGCAGCACGAATAGAACACAGATGTATTTAGTTCCATCACGAAATAATTATTGAAGCCTCAGGTTTTTGTGAATAAGAATAGCTCGTTGTAAACAGTGCGCAGTTGACCAATATCCTGTAAACTTAGCCTGCGTAGCACGGCGGTCTCGGTTGGGCGGGCAAAGTAATAAAGGCTGGCTAGGGCAGAGAAACCACGAGGAGATTGGGGCGGGAGCAACTGTTATTATTTTTCTCGCGGCTTCGCCGCTCATTCGAGCGCGCTTTGCGCACGTTTTTGTAGTTTCAGTACTACTGTAATTTGGGTAATTCGAACTTGTCTAGCGGGGTGACATAACGGCCTTGTCTGCAAATTAGGCCCTGTCCACACGTATCCATGATGGTTTGAATATGGATATTTTTTTTCCGGGTGGTTTGGCCTACCTTCTACACGTATCAGGTGAAAGTGGTCACCGAAAACGTACTTTTTCAAAAAAAGGCTCTGTTCAGTGAAGAATTTTGAAAACACCAACTTCTCGTTTACGTGTGCTTCGAGCATGAAGCATATTCCGTAAGGGATTCTATCGTATTTCCTTCGTCTTAGCGTTTTCGTGTGGACCGGCAAAAACGATTCGCATACGCCAGGAGCCGCTACGTGTGGATGCACATATTTTTTTTTGGAAAACGGAGAAAAAATCTCCGTTTCCAAAAATATCCGGATACGTGCAGAAGGGGCCTAAGTGAGTGAGAATTTTTTTTAAAAAGTCAATTAATTGTCCAGAGCTGTTTTAATTTTTTCACTGCCCCATCCCCCCCACTCTCCACCAAAAAACTGACTTTTTACTAATGCTAAGGAAGTCACGAAGTGAAATTTCGCTTCCGATAAATGGTGCGAGCACTTTCGAGGTATGGTAGTTTATCGGAACGGAATATTCATGGACCAAATCCCCACAGACAAAGTTAACGAAAACAACGGCAGTAACATCTCTAGAGGCAAAATCCTCTCTGTCCCGAAATAGGAGGGTCGAAGACAACCGTAACGTGCTGGTAAGCTCTCCATTTATGAGCGAAGCGAGCCGCGAGAGAACGTGCGAGCGAGCGGCAAAGTCGCACTCGCGTGTCCTTTCGCGTACTACTCTCGCGTGAATTCTCGGGACCCCCGCAAATGCAGAGCTTGCTCGCAGGTTAAGACAACCTCGTCTCTTCCATGAACCTTGTTCGCAGGGCTATTCCCTTAGAAAATGGGAGGGGCGGGAACAAGGTTGCCTTGCGCCATGATCATTCCCTAGAAGATGGTAAGGGCGCTCTCCAATGTTCTCTAGGGAAACGCCATAAGGAGGCAATCTTGAATTACTAAGACTTATTCTATTCTTTTTCTAAGCCAAGTATCCTGAGATCAAGAAACTGATGGGCAGTGATCCTATCTTCAAGTACCAAATCTTGTTGTTGATGTCGCTTCAACTCTCACTGGCCTACATAATGCGTGACCTGTCTTGGACCAACCTCTTCATAGCATCCTACTGCCTGGGTGCCGTGGCAACCAGTGGTCTCATGGCGGGAGTTCACGACATTTCTCACAACATCGCATTCGGAAATGGCCGTCCCTTACTTAACAGGCTGTTTGGTATCCTAGCTAATCTACCGACCGCGTTTCCATCTTCCATTGCCTTCAAGAAATATCACATCTTGCACCATCGTTATATGGGAGTTGAAGAAATTGATCCGGGCCTGCCGACAAAATTTGAGGCTTGGATTTTCTGTAATTCCATGGCTAAGGTTGTGTGGGTGATTCTACAACCGTTCTTTCATGCCATCAGGCCGATGGTTGTTAACCCGTTGACACCAAGCCCCTTAGAAATTCTTAACATCGTCGTTCAGCTCGCCTTCGACTACTTGGTCGTACAGTTCTGGGGTTTAAAATCACTCGTGTTCATGGCCGCTAGTACAATTCTCGGCACGGGTCTTCACCCTTTGGCTGGCCACCTTATCGCTGACCATTATATGTTCGACGTAGGCTGCGAAACGTATTCTTACTACGGTCCAGGAAATTGGCTGACTTTCAACGTTGGGTATCACAACGAGCATCACGATTTTCCCAGCATTCCAGGTTCCAAGCTTCCGCTGGTCAAGAAGATTGCAGGAGAGTATTACGACAACTTGCCGTATCATACCTCCTGGACAAAGGTGATCTGGGATTTCATTACTGATCCAAGAATTGGTCCATATGCTCGGGTTAAGAGAGCGCAGACTAAAAACATCAAATGATGTAAATTCAAACAGCTGTTTATTAGAAACTGTTTTACCAATAATTTAGTAAGCGCTAACGGTGCCTTTTTTATGTGAAAAAAAAAAAAGTCTAAGGTGCGCGCGTTCCTCCTAGACGGATCTAGACGATCAGGATCAGGGATTGTGATTCTTAGTTCACTTAGCCTGCGTTGTTGGCGTTAGGGTAGTGAAATGGAATCTGCCACGCAGGTTAAAGATCACTTGGATCCTATAGACTCCAAGTTTGATTAACATTGAGCCTGTGCTAAGTATTCTGTTTTTGTTTGTTTGTTTTTTAGCTATTTTTAAAAAATAGCTCACTGTGGTGTGAGCGTATGTGTCTCTGTGGCTTTGCGTGTTCAGATTTCTGTTGCAGGAGCCAATAAGGTTGAAGTTACTATGAGTTGATGCTAGGATCCAATGAGATCTGGCATTTAAACATGAGATTGCTGCGCTAAAGGTCAAACAAGGGCACTCTGAAACTTGGAAGAAGATCTTTACAAACATGCTGTGACAATTTTTTTCGCTTAAACTGATATTTAAAGCGAGAAAAATCTGTCTTTTGGAAAGCATCTTTTTTGCAAAACAAGAACTGATACGCCTGCAAGACTTCGTTTACAAGACGTTTTTGTGACTGTATTCTTTAGTTGCTCCATCTCCTATATTTCTAGCCATTGATCAAATAATTATTTCGGAAAATAACGCTTTTAATCGCTCGGGACGGCAAAACGCCTTAATGTTTAAATCTGTATAAATATTTTTGGAACCTCAGGAACAGCGAGTGGTCTGCCTGTGGTCTTTGCTGGACGCATTTTAATCTGCTCTTGATTTACTCAAACCTGTACTAGCCAAACACAATTACGAGGCTCTATTTTATTAGCCCAAAATGCTTTTAGGCCCGTTCGTGTTAAGCTTACTGATTCTGATATCAACTCACCATCCGAGCTGCTCTTCCAACTTGCACCAAACTATTTGGCTATTGCATTTAATATCCGTACCCCCAGAAAAATTATATGCGTCATGTAAAATTTGTGTGGTTTCTACTCGTTTTTCAAAATGGTAGCCATTTTGGAAAACGAGAAGACACTGAGGACAAGGTTGGCCATTACTGTTTCTTCGCAGGTTTCTTCGCAATGCGCTCCCATATCTGGGCTATAACGGTTGGCGGGTATGTGTTTGCAGAGTATGTTGCCTCTCTGACTAGCCTTAGTTACAATTTGCTCGGCAACTTTTTGGCAGCTTTTGCTATTTAGAGCAACTTTCTGGCAACTTTCTGCCATTTGAAGCAACTTTTGATTTTGGGGGCAACTTTATTAAATTTTAAGCAACGTATGGCAATTACAAAACCTTAAAATACTGTTTAAGTCTTGTTGGGCGTGCGATAAATTGTTGTTGAAAATTATATGTCCCCCCCTTTGCACTGAATAATTTAGACACTGTCCCCCTTCCCGTTTTAACCCACCCCCCACCCTCTCCTGATAATTATTTCACAGTCCCGCTTACCACTAAGTTTATTTCCAGGGTACGTTACAACTGAAACAAACTGCAAAAAACAAACAAACAAACAAACAAAGAAAGAAACATACAGACAAAGACTAAACTACGAACACAACACCGAACATCTTGAGAGATAATTTTTGAGTTAATTCGAAGTCAAGTGGAGATAAAAATATGTTTGCATTTTTCTTTAGTAGTTTTAATCGCTTTAGGTCAGGTGTAGTGGCGCACGTCCTGGGGACTAATTAAGTTTGATGTGGCGCGCATGGCATCTGGGTTGACAACGGAATGATTACCCTACACGCATTTTTCAAATGCCTAAATAATTATACGGTCACTTTGACATAAAGCATTAAAGTTTTGACATTGGAATGCTTAAAAGGTCCTTTGAAATATGGGATTTTGTAATTTTTTCTCTTGCAGGGTCTCTTCCCTGAACTAGAGTGGAGAGAAAAAAGTTATATTGTTCTTGATCTTGGCGATTATACCAACAAAAGCACGACACGCCGTAAAAACTGATCGTGACCGTCTTCATATCCATTAGCTATCACAATCTAGCAGTCACTTAAATTCTTTAGGGCGATATTCACGCGTTCACGCTTTGACTATGACTGGTACCACTAGTTAGTTGATCCCGTCCACACGAATCCAGATATTTCTGGAACCCCGTACTTTTTACATGAATCGGCTTTTCCGTCCACACGTTCTCCAGTGAATCTGTTCTCCGAAATCGTATCTTTATGAAGACGCTCTATATAATGATTTTTTTAGATCTGACGGGTTTGTGAACTCGTATACACGAAAGAAACGGGATAGTTTGGAAATGCAGTTTCAGCCTGCCCGGACAGAACAGGGTTGAGTTTATCGGATAATCGGGGGGATACTCCTAGGAATTCTTGGTGGGGCTGTGCCGCCCGGTTCTCCAAATCCTGACCCCTATTTCAGACCAAAAAATGTCATTTCGACACCCGTTTTCAGAGCCGCACTCTAAAATCTATACGCGTTTTTACACCCGGCAAAGGCAGAAATTATGCCATCATTACTTAGATTAGAACGTCAACACTGAAAAAGACTTCTTAAAATCCATTTCGAATTTGCATCTTACTCGCGTTGTTTCTTATTCATTTGGAATTGAAACGACAAATACGTTCATACACTCCCGTAATTCCCTCGTAAACCATACTCCATTCTAGACTAAAATGGACAAAGTCTATACCCGTTTTGAGACCAAAAAGGCGCAAAAACTATGCTCTTTGGGGCGGAACATACCTATATGATTTACGTAATATAATGGAGTACTCCCCCAACATTCAATTTTGCTGTCTGGTGCTTGGTTGATATGTCAACCATAATTTGCCTTAATTTTCAATTCAGAAAAATGAATAAATTACCTTGAAAGTGGAAAGTGGACTTTGGAATAGATTTCGAAATACAATTCATTTTTGCTTTTTTTTGCAATTGCTATGGCGATGTCATCATAGTAGACTCAAAGAATTACATAGTATCATTTTTTGGTTGGAAGTCAGGAGCCATGGTTGCAATATAACGTCTATTACTTAAGACAATAATAACTGTGTTTAAGCATTTTAAACAATGAAGTCTACAGATAAACTTTATATGCAAAAACGTTCTCGAAAAGCCATTTTGGTAGACAAGAATAATCTATTCAAACCAAAAGGGTCGAAAATGTATCGTAAAATCAGCAAAAAGATAGGCAATTCATGAACTCGAAAATTACTCATTTAACCTCTGCTTAAAGATCGCATAAGTCTCCTTTGCTCGATCAACCGTGCCAAACTATATCCATTATTTGGAACCAAGCAATTACAATAATTTATTAAAATTCAGGAAGGTATTAAGTGTTTATTCCACGTTAGCATAGCATTGACGCAGGCTGCTGCAGGTAGAGGACTTCAGTGAGGATGGGTGGCCAAATTACTCGCTGTGACTTCGAATGGTCGTACACAGCCGAACCACATGCTACGAGAAGAAAAGAAATACTTGGTAGGCTGACATTTGACTGTTTTAGCCCACATTGACCCGATGATTTTACGTTATACAAAAGCATTAAGAATTACATAACGAACATGACCCTGCGAGAGTTTGGCATCACTAGTTGACTTTTACAAAAGAAGCTAAATATTTTTTGTTGACCACTTACTTTTTTGGTTGTTCATTTGAGATATTCAGAGCCCTTTAGAAAATTTGAATTGGTTTTTTTCTATTGAGTTTACTATAAACATGGATTTAGATTATAAATAAGTACGCCTTAATTAGTCAGGCTTTATTGCTAACAAAAGCGATCAGTTTCCTATAATATCCAAGCTGTTTAAAAACAGCTAATATAAAACAAGGCACAAATTGATGAATTTTCACATGGCGATTCTAGGCGAAAATTTGCTAACTAGCCCATTTCTTTTTCAAAAGATGTCTCTGACCTAAGTATTCCTCATTTTGTCGCATGCAAGGTTGTCGTCACAGACAACAGATGTGGTGAATTGTTATTTATGTTTTACGACTTCATCATGACGTTTTAATAATAATTTCTAACTAGCAATAAACTAGTCAATTGGGGCCATCGCTTTAAATCTGTTAGTCTTAGAAAAACAAAAACATGCGATTTCGCATGATCGCCCTACATATCGACTATATTGTTTTCCTTTAGTAACAAACACCATTTATCAACCCCTCCCTAATTAATGCATATATCGACATACACCTGGTATTACACGAATAACAGCTCATTAGGCTTAAGCGTTTGCCTACTCGCCTGCCCTAATTGGCATAATTTCCAAAGCTCCGTGGATCAATAGAAAAGAAAGAAATTTTTAGTCAAAATTTTGCCGGCATTGGCTTTTAACGGTAGCGACGAGATGGCAGTAATATTCAAGTCTTGGGTGCAGATTGGGTAAACATTGACTATCGATTTTGCGGAAAGTTTTGTAGCACGAATAGAACACAGGTGTATTTAGTTCCACCACGAAATACGCATTGAAGCCTCTGGTTTTTGTTAATAAGAATAGCTCGTTGTAAACAGTACGCAGTTGACCAATATCCTGTAAACTGGGCAATACGAACTTGTTTGAATACCCAACATCTTGTATCCTACAGCATTTCTGAGTGACATAACGGCCTTATCTGCAAATTAGGCCCTGTCCACACGTATCCATGTTTGTTTGAATACGGATATTTTTTCTCCGGGTGGTTTGGCCAATCTTCTACACGTATCGGGTGAACGCGGTCATCGAAAACGCATCTTTTCAAAGAAGGCTTTTGAGAGTTGAGAGAGTGGAGAATTTGAAAACGCCATCTTCTCGTTTAAGTGTGCTTCGAGCATGACGTATATTCCGTAAGGGATTCTATCGTATTTCCTTCGTTTCAGCGTTTTCGAGTGGACGGGCGAAAACGATTCGAATACGATACGTGTGGATGCACAAATTTTTTTTGGAAAACGGAGAAAAAAATCTCCATTTCCACAAAAATATCCGGACACGTGCGGACGGGGCCTAAGTGAGTGAGATTTTTTTAAAAAAGTCAATTAATTGTCCAGAGCTGTTTTAATTTTTTCATCGCCCCATCCCCCACTCTTCGCCAAAAAAACTGCCTTTTTAATAATGCTAAGGAAGTCGCAGAGTGAAATTTCACTTCCGATAAATGGTACCGCGACTCTGCGAGCACTTCTCAGATCTTTGGAGACGCCGGGGTATAGTAGTTTATCGGAACGGGATATTCATGGACCCAATCCCCACAGACAAAGTTTGCGATAAGAACGGCAAAATCATTTCTGGGGGCAAAATCCCCTCTGTCCCGAAATGGGAGGGTCGAAGACAGCCGTAACCGAGCCACGAGAGAACGCGTGCTGGCGGCGAAGTCGCACTCGAGTCTCCTTTCGCGTGCTGCTCTCGCGTGACTTCTCGAGACTCCCCCTCGGAGAGCTTGCTCGCAGGCTAAGACAACCGCGTCCCTCCATCAAACTCGTTCCCAGGGCTATTCCCATCGAAAATGGGAGGGGCGGGAATGAAGTTGCCTTGCCCCATGGTGGTTACCTAGAAGATGGTAGGTGCGCTCTCCCATGTTCTCAGGGGAAAAGCCATAGGGAGACAATCTTGAATTACTGAGACTTATTCTATTCTTTTTCTAAGCCAAGTATCCTGAGATCAAGAAACTGATGGGCAGTGATCCTATCTTCAAGTACCAAATCTTGTTGTTGATGTCGCTTCAACTCTCACTGGCCTACATAATGCGTGACCTATCTTGGACCAATCTCTTCATAGCATCCTACTGCCTGGGTGCCGTGGCAACCCATGGTCTCATCGTGGGAGTTCACGACATTTCTCACAACATCGCATTCGGAAACGGCCGTCCCTTACTGAACAGGCTCTTTGGTATCCTAGCTAATCTACCGACCGCGATTCCATCTTCCATTGCCTTCAAGAAATATCACATCTTACACCATCGTTACATGGGCGTCGAAGAAATTGATCCGGACCTGCCGACAAAATTTGAGGCTTGGATTTTCTGTAATTCCATCGCTAAGGTTATGTGGGTGATTCTGCAACCGTTCTTTTATGCCATCAGACCGATGGTTGTTAACCCGTTGACACCAAGCGGCTTAGAAATCCTTAACATCGTCGTTCAGCTCGCCTTCGACTACTTGGTCGTACGGTTCTGGGGTTTAAAATCACTTGTGTTCATGGCCGCTAGTACAGTTCTCGGCACGGGTCTTCACCCTTTGGCGGGCCACTTCATCGCTGAGCATTATATGTTCGCGGAAGGCTGCGAAACATATTCTTACTACGGTCCAGGAAATTGGCTTACTTTCAACGTTGGGTATCACAACGAGCATCACGATTTTCCCAGCATTCCAGGCTCCAAGCTTCCGTTGGTCAAGAAGATTGCAGCAGAGTATTACGACAACTTGCCGTATCATACCTCCTGGACAAAGGTGATTTGGGATTTCATTACTGATCCAAGAATTGGTCCATATGCTCGGGTTAAGAGAGCGCAGACTAGAAAAATCAAATGACGTAACCAATAATTTAGTAAGCGCTAAGGCAATCTCGTACCCAGTGCCTTCTGGCTTTTTGGTTACCAGAAGACTGGTGACCAAATTTCTTTTAGAAGCGATTTTTTGTGGAAAATTCAAATCCGCATTTCCGAATCCAAAAACGGATTTAGCGTTTTTTTGGTAAATCCAACAACGGATCATGAATCTATAAAATCCACACTCCGGGTGGATTCTACGGATCGAATCCAAATCCGGATTTTTGAGATTCACAATCTGAGCGTTTTTGGGGGAAAGGATTTGAAAAAGGTATTTTTGACAAGCGGTTTTCCGAACAAAAATGGTACCCAACAGATGCCACGCCGTACCTGTATGACATTCTAAATGAACCTAGTTACATATCATTCCATTTTGTCATCTATTTACATTCGTAGACTGCTTTTAGCCCTTACTTGTCATGTTGTTTGTACGTATGTAGTGTGTGCTTACATCGGTCAACTTCAACTTCAACTTCAACTTTATTTCATAAGACTATTGGTTACAATAGACTGACCCGCAAAATAGCAATTGCTAATCTGGGCGGACCAGTTAAAAGAAAAATAAATTGAAAGGAAAAGAAAGGAAAGGAAAAGGAAGGAAGACTACAATTTTAAGTTACAATAAATAATATTCTATCACAGTTTTATTTTAATTACATTAAATCTGAACAAGCAAACAAACAAATACTTTAATACAGAAATCACTAAACTATTAATCGAACTTTTTCAACTATTAAGGGCGCCTCAATATAGTCATCTTCTCTTTTTAAGATAACCGAAAGCAATCTGTGAAGTACTTTCCTAAATTTCTTTTTAGGAAGATCTCTAATATGACAAGGCATCTCATTCCAAAGTTTTACACCAAAGCGAGACAAGGAGTTTTTGTGTATTTCCAGCTTTGAGCTTTTGACGTGAAAATTACCTGAACTAGATGATCTTGTATAGTATGAATGAATTGTTGAGGTTTTTTTCAAATAAATTGAGCAGATTTGTTGGCGAATTGTTGTTGTTAATATCGTGCATTAGATTAGCCACAGTTTTATAATACATAAATGACACTGGTAATATGTCAGCGTCGATAAATAGAGGAATTGCGTGTTCACGTATATCCGTAAAATACATCATGCGAAGCACTTTCTTCTGGAGAATTAAAATTTTATTGAGGGACGTCTTGGATGCCTGACCCCAGGCAGCAAGACCATAGTTTAGGTGAGGGTGGATTATAATGTTTGGTAAATATATAACAGTATATGACGGGGTATGGAGTGCCGAAGTCTTGAAATTAGTCCAACGGTTTTACTGATTTTTGCCGTAATGGCGTCAATGTGATATTTCCAAGTAAGATTTTTATCAATCACCACACCAAGATATTTAATATAATTTTTGGACTCTAGAGTTACATTTCCATTTTTTTCGTTATCGAACGTGTAGAGGCTCGGTTGGTAAGTGACTTTTTTTTGATAAGGATGAAAGATTACAAAGTTAGTTTTTGTAGTATTGAGAATTAACTTATTGGATGTTAACCATTCGTAGAGGTTTTGTAATTCGATATTTACTATATTTTCTAGAGACTTTAAGTTTTTATCGGCATAAAGGATATTAGTATCATCTGCGAAGAGATAAAACTTAAGTTTATTCGAGCATTGATGTATGTCATTAAAATACAATAAAAAAAGCAACGGGCCGAGCACAGATCCTTGGGGAATGCCATAACTTACGTTGGCTTTGTTTGAAATGTATGGTCCGATTTGGGTAGATTGCATCCGATTATTCAAATACGAGGAGAACCAATCATTAATAATTCCACGAAAACCATAGTGATTAAGTTTGTCAAGCAAAATGTTATGATTGACAGGATCAAAAGCTTTCTTGAAGTTTATGAAGACTCCGCACGAGAAAAGACCTTGATTCATATTAATTTGTATTGCGTTTACAATGTCTAATATTGCATGTTGAGTCGAGTGACCTTTACGAAAACCGTACTGGGAGGAATACAATAAGGTATGTTTGTCAATGCAATCTTTCATTCTGTTGTACATGATCTTTTCGAAAATTCTGTTAAAGTTAGATAACAAGGATATAGGCCTGTAGTTATTCGCATCATTATCTTCGCCACTCTTGAATATTGGAGTTATTTTGGACAATTTAAGTTTTGAGGGGTATTTTCCTAGTGTTACTGAGATATTTAATATTTCTGATAGATTTATTTTCCAAGTAATTAAATAAAATGTACAATTCACCGGCTTCAGTAAATTCTTAAATTTTACTATGCTAAGGAGTATTCTATTCGAGAAACGTTTGAGTTTCAAACCAAAATAAATACATTTCGTATATTCATACAGAGTCTATGTTGCTTCTCGTTCTTGATCCTTCTTGTCTTCGTCGCGGGGATCGGTTTGTTGTTTTTTTCCTCTATTTTTCTCATCAAGAGGAGCACGAGGACATGCCGTTGTCATGGTAAATGATCCTTTTTTCGGATCTTCCGTATTTTTGGTGATGGGTGATGAAGAATCCATATGATCTGAGATCACAAATCCGCTTTTGTATTCTCCCCGAAAAAACGCTCCCTTGGATGAAAAAAAAAAAACAAAAAAAAATGCAAGGGTGCGCGCGTTCCTCTTAGATGATCAGGATCAGGGATTATGATTCTAAGGTCACTTAGCCTCCCTTGAAGGCGTTGGGATCTGCCACGCAGGCTAAAGATCACTTGGATCCTTTAGACCCCAAAGTTTGAGTAATGTTGAGCTTTTGCTAAATATTCTGTGCTTGTTTGCTTCAATAAAAGGCGTGCAAACGATGGAATGCCTTTTTCGATTCTTTTCAAAAACGCTTATAACTGTAATAACAACAACTTAACCCAAGATAGTTAACAATTACTCCTCGAGCCCGAATGGGCTCTGAGTCACTAGCCCGTGAGGCCGGGGGCCGAATGGGCTATTGATTCAGAGGCCATGAGGGCGAGGGGAATAATTGTTTTAGTAAACTCCAACTAGTTGTTCAAAATATCGAGACAAAACAACTTTTGCTAGGAAAATGCGATTCAGCCGCCATTGTTTTGGTTTTCAAAGCCGGAGACCACTAGTTGGATTTTACTAGTGTTGGTTATTGTCAACTGGCATGAAAGGAGTAATTTCCCAAAGACCTTCTTCAACTCACACTCAAGAAGCGAGACCTCAGTTGGATAAAGGCAGACATTTTACAGCTTTTTTTTGTTTGAAGCTGGCATTCGTTTAGTCTGCTACACAGCCGTTGCGTAAAAAAGGCTGTGTAGCAGACAAGCGTTCGTTTGGCATCAATTGGACTGCGTTATGTAATGTTAAGGGTTACGTCATGCTATTTGCTATCGTTTTAAAAAGTTGAAAAATTTCCCTTGCATCAATCATCAACTGAATTCCAAAACTGATTGTCCAGTTTTGTTTTTTCACAATAAATTTAGGAATTGAAACTGTTTCCTGTCTTCTGATGCAACGGATGGCAATTGTAGAAATGGATTGAAACTTGAAAAAGTTGGGCAAACCTTTTTCAAGTTTCAATGCAATGACTGCAAAAATCATCATTATAGTTATTGCTCCTTGATGCAATTTGTTTAATAACTTCTTCACATCTCGAAGAGAGCCTTTTGTGTACGGGCAAAGGCAAGAGTGATGACTTCAGCACAGAACTGACCTAAAATAGCATTGAATATCCTTGTGACATAGACTTCTTTCATAATGGTGGCCTATTCATATATTCTTTTAGATGTATGATAAATTGGCTTTCTGACCTCGTATAAAAAGTAAGAATCCTTTTGTATTTTGCACATGCTAGGGAGATCAAAAAGGCTAATTATCATGTATATAAGAGAATTTATTATATAGACGCGAGTGTTTTACTGGAAAATATACCACTCGTAAAATTGATAAAAACTACATCCGGGACCCGAGTGGTTTATTTTCCATAATCTCACACGTGAGTTTATCGATGATGTAATTTTGGTAATTTCCCTCTATAATTTTATCGATGTCATTTCGTCTATATAATAAAAAGAACATTACACGGCGGCTTGAAGATATGAATTTTATTTCCTTGTGGCAAAAAAAATATTTTACTCACTCGCTGCGCTCGTTCATAAAATTTTGTTTTGCCACTCGAAAATAAAATTCATATCTTCGCGCCATCATGTAATATCCTCTATGTATTTTGCACATGCTAACGAGGTCAAAAAGGCTAATTATCATACATATAAAAGAATATATTATTCAGCTGCCATTATGAAAGAGGTCTATAATATACTTTGTTTCAGAATGTTTCTATAATTGATAAAACTGGTTTGAGTGATATTTCACTGAAAAATACTCTTTATTTATGATAATAATATACACATACTATGATATACGATAAAATACTTTCCATGACAATAAAATATTATAATTTAACAACATTTAAAATATGCACCTTTGCTACAAATTTGAATGTACAATAATTATGTCTCAATAAAGAACTGACTAACAGATTTACTAGCAAAACATGCAGTCAACTCAATTTAAACAGGAGTCAAGATGATCATTGATTTTGGATTGCAAAACTAAAGCTTGACATGCAGGGCAGTGAACACTGCCTGGGGTACCTGTGCTTGGGCTTGGAGAACTATCCAGCTCGATAGGCTTTCTCTGAGATCCTAATAGAGGGCTTCTTAAAGAGTCACTTTCACTGTTGCCATTCTTACTTTTGTCCTTAGCTCTTTGAAAAGCATCCACGATAGTGAGAGTTGGCGATGGAATTTTCTTGGATTTATTTGGAGAAGGAGTTTTGATAACAACAACAGATGACTTAGTAGTCTCACTGGCTTTTTCAACAAGAGATCTTCCAGAGTCCTGCGAAAGTGACTTATGTTCTGTGGAGTTGGAACCTAAGGTCCTACCAGGACCAGAAAATGGTATTACGTCAGCAGTCCACCTGGACGTTCCTGGTTGATTGTGATTCGGTTTTACTACTCCACCATTAATTGATGAAGCTTTAGCACCTTCCTCTGATGGCCCTTTCTTTCTCTTAATTCCATTTTCACAGCTTTTGTCTGAGTCACTACCACCATTGTCAGTATCAGATTTCTTTCGTTTCAAAAACTTTTCTAATGCACCAGACTCACTCCCTTCTCCTTTGCCCTTAGCTGATGCTGTTTTTAAGTCTTTTTTTCCTTTCCCCTCTTTTGATTTAGTCTTTTTTGCACCATAATTTTCAGGCTCTTTAATCTTTGTGTAGGTCCCACCGCACGTTCTTTGATGGTCTGCCCACCAGGGGTCTCTTGCAGAAGGTGCTCGGTTCATGGCTCTTTTGACCATCCCATAATAAGGTGGTCTCTTGCTGCATGGACCATCGCACTTCCACCAGTGTTGACGATAAACATTGACCTTAAGAATCAGATAAAAGAAAGACATTAAGCCTTTCACTCAAAACAGTGTCCAAAGAGGAAATCCAGACATAAAAATCCACATTTCTTTTTGAACAATCCTAACAAAAAAATAGTACTATGCAAATGTTCAGCCAAAGAGGTTTTATTTCAATGGTATCACTGTATGATTTCATCCACAGATTCGGAATTCCTTTATTGAATTTGCCACGGTGAGTCAACACAGTGACAGGGATGAAACAGGACTTACATCCCAATATTGAAATCAGCCCCTTCATTACCCACCCGGCCCATGAAAGGTTGTACTACACCATCAGTGCCTATGCCCCCTACTCTTTACCAACATCACTGTGGGTTTTTTTATGTCCCACAGTAATCAGAACAGTGAAAGAGCTATGAGACAGCACCTGTGGTTTTTTTGTCCTTATCTGAGAAGACTAGAATGTATAACCCTTTGTAGATGTCACAACAAAAGCAGCACATTCTCCTCATTTATTTTAAGACCCTGAGTGTTGGTCTGGCCAAGGTTTGAGCCTGTGACCTCCCGCTCAGCAGACCGGCACTTATCCAATTAAGCTGACCGGGTGGCAGAAGTTAGAGCGATGACTCTCTCTTCTTATCTTAAACTTCATTTAGTAAAATGAATAAAAAAAATATTTTCATGAAAGAAACATTTCTAACCAAGAATGGTGACTGTCTTTTGTATGGCATATTACTCCAAGCCACCTGAATTAAGTAAAAAGGGCTGTCAAACTTAGTATTCTCTGAAAATTTGTCTCACTCTTTAGATTAGGTATGTTATAATATGCTGTTGGGTTTAATTTGAGACAATGGGAAATTTTACTAAATGTGGGGCTGTGCTCTAGCAGAGGCCAGTGGTTCCTGGCACCCAACTTTTGCTCTTGGATGACTAGAAATCTTATTTTTTTCATTCAAATCATATGCTGGGCACCCTGGATTTTACAAGGTTGCCTTCAATTTTCCTTACGGCACAGCCTTGAAATAGTTTTTTTTTATGCCAAAGATTAAAAAAAAAACCGATAACCCACAACTCTTTCTTCTGTCTTTGTTTATTGGTTGTTTATCAGGGGCATTTACTCTAAAAACATGTATGATGTCATAAATGGTACTAAAACTGCACTACAAGAATCGCTTTGGGTTGTATGGAAGTCCCTATTAATAAAGATAGCACCACAACTCACCTCATCATGAAAGTTGTGATAAACCTGCAGAGCACAATTAAAAAAAAAACATTTTCAGACTATTTACTGAGGTGCAGTGGCAGGTTCACCGATGAAAAATGTCCACAAAAATAAACCGTAACCTTAGCTGAGCTTGACAGTTTGTAAATAAAGAGACATTTACAATGTAGGTACTGGAAAAGGAACATTCACATTATACAGAAACCAGCCTTAAGACTGAACTGAATATTATCTTGGTGATCCCTCTTGCAACAATCACGACAATCACTTAATGAAAATTTGTTTCCACAGAATTGCTGTAATCCTGGAGGTTTTTTTCAGCAATCCTGGTGATCAATAAATTAATGGATACCAGATATTGTTTAGGGTGATCTCATTGGTAGCATGCACATATAGCTGTCACATTTGGGCATTGGCGTTTCTCACTACTTTTAGGATTGAAAACAATAAAAATTTCTATCATGCAAATTGGATGGCTATAAGTGTCTGCTGCAAATGATTTCATCCCGAGGGAAAACAGTCTTCATTGCATACTTACAGTAATTTTTGCACCACTTTCTGCATTTATTCTCTGCATGTGCTTAAGAAATTCTGGTCCATGGGCATCATGATCCTGAAAGATTGAAAGATGACTTAGAATTATGCTCAAACAACACCTGGTTACCCCTGATAACATACCTCTCTTTTTGGAGATCTGTAGGGGATCAATTAATGACCACCTACCCCTCCCACTTACTTCTCACTTACGGCAAAATTGTGACTTAGAGAAGGGGTATGTAGATAGTAGCAAGTTTGTGAGAAGGTGGCTTTCCTGAAATGCTGATTTGTGCAATCCAATCCAGGATTTGAATTTTAATTCACCAAAAATAAAAATTATATTTACCTTCAAATAGACTATTTAAGTATCATTTTTGTGTTATCATAAATGTGTTTGACAGTGAAGGCTTTAACTGATTTTCTTAGCTCCAGTTCCACAGGGATGTAGCTAATGAAAAGCTACGCAGGCTTATTCATAAGTCAAGCCACTTTTTCTTCACTTCACCTTCAAAATTACCAAAAATATTTGTTTCCCCGACCAATCTGAGCCGTTAGTAAGCTCTTACTCAGCTGGTGAAATTCACTAGTAGCTGTCTCTTATCTACATCCCTGGTTACATGTTCCCAAACAAGAAAACTTTGCTTAAAACTTGTCTTAATCCAGCTTAACCTTAACTATCTTTTGAGGAACCAGGCTCAATAAAATATTTCAAACTAAGATATCTGTGTAAATGCTAACCACCACCTATGTCTAACTAGACAATGCCGCCTACATTGAACAACATGGACCAGCATATCTCCACCAGTGAAATAATTTATTATTGTTGTTATAATTATTTATTTGACGAGTATTAAAGAGGGAACAAAATTTGTCAAACCCAATAGTAATAAGGAGATAAAGTAGAGTTAATTTTCATGACTTGCCTTGTTATTTTGGGTCACAAACAACAATGCGTGGATCATCTCATGCTAAAATAAAAATAACAGAAAAAATAGTACTTGATGATACATTTTTATCAACTTGTTCTATGCAGATGCACAAATAATTATAAGGATTGACCCTTTAAGTCCCAAGAGCGACCAACACCAATTTTCTCCTAACAGAGCAAATATTGATAGGTTTTCGTCAAGAGAAAAGGTTTAGAGAAATAATAAAATGATCACTTAAGGGAAAATGCTTTTAAGGAAATGTATGGAGAACATTGAACAGTCTGGAGAATTTGTAGGTCCAGTTCCACAGGGACTTTTAAGGGTTAGAGGAGGGTTAAATATTCAAGACTAGAAGGCAATGCTATCCTTTGTTAAATGCTGATTGGTGATGAAGTATTAAAAATGAACATTTCTTTGTGTATTTGTTCAGAAATCATGGAAGGCACCTTACCAGTAATGTCTGTACAAGGTCTCTTCTTGGACGAAGCTTTAGCAAAGGTTCACTGAGTCGAATAGAACACAAACCTCCACGACCCTCATAACAACACAATCCAGCACACCTGACAGAATATAAGAAGATACATTTAAGAAGAGGTGCTAGATGCTCTACTCTTCAATAAATGAAATCTAGTAATGAATGTGGATTGTTCCAGTGCTGAAATGAATGTTACCTCAACAGAGCAAAGTACAAAACAAAATGAAACATGTTATATCATGTCATTATATATGATATATCATATCATATCTTATCATTACCAATCATTATATATGATATGACAGACATATCATATCGGTTTCCTGATATGATATCATTATATTACGGAATTGTATCAAAAGCCTTTAAAAGACAGGCATACATGAGTGGGCTGTTGGTGGGTGGGTGATGGTCAGGCTGTGTTGACTGGTAACTTATGAGATTTGCCCTGAATTCTGCTATACTTTGCTCCTCCACCCACCCCCACCCCTGATCCTCTCAGTCACGCACTCCCTTAATTACCGCTTCTTTGGCAGGTATGTACTTCTCCATCAGGGTATAGTTTTCCGGTCTACAGTCTTAAACAGGCTATGCAGTTTCCTTCCTTGAGTACCCCCCCTCCCAACCCCTACAGGGGCTCCACCCCTTCCACGACAAAATTTTAAGGTTGCTACATTACGTGGATATGCAGTTATCTCTTTTATGACAAATAGACATACTATGTGCTTTATACGCTGTTTTTAAGTGTCTATCAAAGTGGATACACGGATACGCAGATAGTGAGATGCGTAGAGACTACGGGAGTGTTTACATGAGAAAACTCGCACCTGTGTGACTTTCATACCAGGATGACTTCTTGATTTTTTATGATGTTTACACAATGACTGGGTCATTTCATATCATGTTTATATGACGGTATACTTCATGTTGATAATATACACATGATTGTGATTCAAAATCACAAACATTATGCATGCGCTACCCACTCCAGTCTACCTGCAGACTGATTTCACACCGAAATGAGTGGTTGTTTCATGTGTACATGATACTGTTGTAAAATTTTGTACTGAGGTGAAATTCTTGCTCCTGTACAACAATCGGGATGAACTCACGCTGGTGTGACTCACACTGGCATGACATTTTGTGGTGGTATCATGTAAACAAATACAGAGCCATAAGAGGGAACCCGAGTGAACTTGCACCGGCGCGAAAGTTGCCCTGCTGTCATGTAAACAACCCCTGAGTATCCGCGTATCCACCCATTTTTAAGGGTTGCGTTAAAGTGGCAAGGTATTTTGCATTTAAGCCGAAAATTGAGAGGGTAGCTACGAATCGATCTGAAGCTTCCAATTGATCTCAGAAAAAATCTAAATAAATAATCGGTCAGTGTAAAACGCAGATTGCGGACTGCAGACTACAGATCAGGGGTAAAATCAAGACTGAGTGTAAAATACAGACTGCAGACTGAGAGTAAAATGCAGGCTGAGTGCAAAATGCAGAATGAAGACTGTAGACTTTTTAAACATTTGTGCTTCTTCTTCTCCAAACAGGTGAAATAGCTAGCTGGTATCAGTTACACACCTCGCTTCCTAGCCGAAGTACATTGCACATTCGCTGGAAGTTTCAATGAACATACCTTGATTTGCAATACTTTCATAGAAGGTCATGCAAATTTCCTGCAGAACATCTTTCTTTGTTACTCCCTTTTTTATCGCAATAATTCTTTCTGTACAGTATTTTGGGCCAGCAGCTTTTATTTAAGCATAAACACCGTTGTATTGTGCCAATTCACCGTCACATGTATCGAAAACTTCACATCTAAAGTTCAAGCGTGAGGTTTCTCGGACGGAAAAAGAGTTCAAGATTCAGCGATTATGTTTTCGGGTCGTCCACGATGTTCCAGAGAAGAAAGGAATGGATTTGTGAAAGCAGATGTCAGCAAGTAAGTGTTCCTTTACTAATTATTTGCGCGATTTTTTTGCCCCTTAACCCTTCCACGACTACAGTTTATGCTCAGTCTGCATTTTACCCGCGCCTGCGTTTTAGTCTCAGTCTGCAGTCTGCAGTCTGCATTTTACCCCTGGTCCGCAGTCCGCAGTCCGCAGTCCACAGTCTGCGTCTTACACTGACCGAATAAATAATGAATTTGGCGCCAAATTTCTAGATGCTTCATTTACGATAACACTTACAATGTCATCCGTGGACTCCATCTTACTTCTACGGAGCTTAAGAGTCCTTTAAAATAGGCATCGTTAAACTGCAAGAATAACTGTCGCACATCAGGAATCGGATCAATCAGTTCCCACGAATCATCTACAACAGAGACTGGAGCGGCCGCTAGTTTGCTTGGTCTTGATAAAGCTGAAGAACTCGCCAAATCGTGGCTTGATTTCTCACTCTCCTGCTCTTGATCGAGTTCCTCTTGCAACCTGAGTGCATAGGCCAAGTCAATATCTTCAGATATTTCAATCATTGGGATTAAACTTTCGAAAATTGTATTTACAGTTTGTGCTTGTTTTCAGACGACGAAATCAAAGATGGCGCTTTACGATCTTTGTCAACTAGAATCCAATCCCTTCAGCACCACGAGTGACCGTGGTGAACTGGTACGAATAGTATAACAAAATGGCGTCGTTTGCAAGTCGATCTTTACGAAGTGCTTCTCGAATGGTTTTACAGGTAAAATTAACTTCCTTTTTTAGTTTTTGAGTTATTGTATTGAAATTTGCTTTCTTTTTTAAGACGACAGGATCGCAAGGTGGACGAATTTCATCGCAAGGTACAATTACCAGTATGATGTTTTCTCGTTTCCACGTGTGCTTTTAACTTAGAGGCTTAAATTTTATTAATATTAAGTTAAGCTTATATAAGCTTAAGAACAGATTAGTTGAATTTAACGGCTCTCACTGTATAAAATAGTCTGCTTATTGACGAAATGTGTTGCAGTAAATCAAAATTGTTATGTAATGGACTCATACTAAAACGTCAACATCGTACCTTCATGGTACATCTTGGTGTGTTCTATTCACAGGTTGCCCAAGGTCCGGTGACCACAGGAAGCCTTTCCTTTTAGATAATAAATATTATTTATACGGGAACCGTACTATCATTTATGAGACTGCGTGCGAAATTTTGATTGTACTAAAAAAATTAAGCGATTAGTTTTCTTTTGAACTTTCATTATACCTTCAGTAGTTTTATGCATGATATGTTTTCACCTGCTTCTGGTTGCTGGTCACATGGCTTGTATTTGTTTTAATAGCCTCTGAGCAGGCTCATTTGTGTACGATAGCAGAGAAAATTTTAGCAGTGGAGTCACCAGCATGAGCTGGCAAATGGGGTAAGGTAAAGTGTTGCATAACTATCTTTGCACTCTTTTTACCAGCTGTTAGAAGACACTGCAAACTGCAAAGTATTCAAGCTCTTCACCAAGCAGCTGGTGTTAGTTTGTGAGTATCTTCCTCTGTAGCCTACTTAGCAGTTGCAGGCATGAATCTATGATAAATACCGACTGTTTCCCTAAACGAGCGCTGAAGGTGCAAGCTTGTCCGGGGTCCACAGGGAATTTTTTGGATTTTAACTCCCCTAAAGGCCCCTTTCCTTGGTTTCTGAGTTGACATTTAGACAGGATATTGGCCAGTTCCATTCTCCTCGGATGAAGGCTTGCAAATTGGAGGATTATTTCATCTCCTGATTTCAACTTGGAAATTTTTTTTAAAATTTATGATATATTTCTTATGAATAATCTGACCAATTTTCTTGACCCTTTAAGTCCCAATAGTGCTCAAAATCAATTTTCTCCTAATGATATCCATAGATTGTCATGAGCAAAGTCTATGAGAATTAATAAAATGAACACAAAGAGAAAAATATTTGATCTTTTACCCAATTCTCTCAACTAATTCTTCAAGGAAATGTATGGAGATCAGTTTGGAGAATTTGTATGTGGATATTGGGACTTAAAGGGTTAAAATGGAGGAAACTGGTGTGGATTATGCTTCTCCAGGCAGGAGAAGCATAGGTAACACGCAAGAGAAGGAGGAAAAAAAACTGAACAAGCGGGGGTGCTCCTTCCCCCCACTCCTGCTTTTTTTTCTTGCCTTCACATGTCTTCTGCACTTTTCCTGTGTGATTAAAAGGAGACAGAAACTTATGCTATACAAACTCTTTCTTCAGCTGATATATTTTAAACTGCCTTGTGCTGCCTTTGTCTTGGCCTCTTCTCAAAGGGCCACTGAACCATTATTCCCAAATCTTTTTTTGGTCATTCAAATAAATCTGATCCATGTTTCCTGGGAAAATTGTTTAATTGACCTATTCTTTTTCATATTTCTCCAGAGCAAAGCAAGCCCAAAAGCAGTTTGTTGTCAGTATATCAAGAACAGTCTCCTCTTGCACTCTCATAACTACAGGTGAGGTCAAAAGCTACCGTTCTAATTCAGTTGAAATGCTCCAGGCAATGATTTTGTTGTGTTTTTTGCTCGTTTTTTAAAGTTTGAAATTGTACAAAAGTAACTTAATTTTGAGGTGTGACCATTTTTTCGTTCACTAGTTCCCACTTTGTTTTTGAGAAATAACCTTTGGAGAACCTTCTACCTTCCTAGTGCCTGTTTTTTTTTGCTCAACCAAAGAAGGATAGGTTCTGGCAATGTCTTAAGCTCTTTCCAGGGAAAAATGCAATCAGATTTCTTGGTAATAATCTATTATTGTCTGGACCTTATGTTTTAACAGTCAGTTTGACTCAAAATTAATCCATCTGAAATATTATTATTTTTAGTGAGGTATGTGGGAGGGGAGGACAGGGAGCCCGGGAAAATAGGAGGCAGGACAGGGGGAGGGGTATGGGAGGCGGGAGACGAAAGGGTGCGAGGTGGGAGTTCTAAAAGGCTGGGAAATGGGAGAAATAGAGGGAATTATGCACAATGCTTAATATTTTGCAATCGAAAAAGGGGCTAACGTTTGGACAACCCTGGCCCCATCTCCATACCATAGCATTTTATCCAAAGAACGAAGAAGTTAGAATTATTTTGTCTGCCCTGTAAACTTATTTCATGCTATAATAAATATTATTCTCCTTCAGCTGCCCCACTCAGTGCAAGTGTATCCTTATGTGGTGCCGGAATTAGCTCTGATATAATGGAGGGCTCATCGGGTGATGATGATGGACTAGTGATCGAGGCGCGGAAACATCTGGATGACTTATGACACAGGCTTTTCTTACACACAAATTTTAATCTTTTACATTGTGTGTAATATGCTGATGACATTCCCTCTTTTTAAAAGTAATATTCCTTTTATGCATGGACAAGCCAAAAATGTACCAGTTTTCCATAATGTGTGCATCCTACCCTGAGCTTCTGTTGTGGTCTCTCTGTTCTCATTATTTTGTTGTTTAAGATCGGTTTGTTGTTGTGGAACAACAGAACAGCCCAAAACGTATCAGTTTTCCATATTGTGAGCTCCCCAAGTTTCTATTGTGGTCCTATTTCCTTTTGTTGTTTAAGATCTGCTTTTCGTGAAATGGTAGAATAACGGAAAAGAGTAAGATGTACTTACAACAGAACTTGCTCCAAAGTTTAAAAGTTTTTGCATTTGTTTTAAGTGTTTTTATTAATGCCTTGTGTTAGGCTCTGTATTAAGACCAGCGATTGTTTTAAATTTACTTGAATATTAGCCAGTTTTATCTGTAATATTGTTAGTAAAGTACAAAAATCTGTGAACCTTTGGTTACCTTTTGTTTTTAGTTTTCTATTTTAAACATTAATCTCTGCACCATTTCATCATATTGCCCATATTTTACTTTCCTTTTCAAGACTTGGTGAGGGGGATTGTCAAAAAATTCTGTATGATGTAGGGGGATATTGAAAAATTTTGCCCCTTAAAAAAATCCCCCCCCTCTCCCTGCAGTATACATAATGAATGCAGCCCGAGAGGGTTGAAAAGTCTTCAGCGATTGTGGCCATACTTGATGGTTTTCACGAGCTGCATCTCGACCAGTAACCTTGAGTAATTATATTTTGATGTTTGTTTTTTTTCTGGTTTCATGAAGTCAAGCATTATTTATGCCGTCACTTTACGCACAGTCATAAGATTTGAGACTATGATCTGACCTATTACAGAACTTAAAAAGTCTTTAGACATTTTCTTACTGTGACTAGAAAGAAAACATTCTGAGGAATATTTAGTTATCCTGTTGGTTGTGAAAAGAAAGCTTTGAGCGATATTCTTGCCTCGAGTTTATCTTGAAAAAATAGCAAACACGTCAAAGCTGAAGCTTAAGTTTAAATCTGCAAGGTTTTATTCTTGACTCAGGATTTTCAGAGACACTTCACTCTCAATACATGTCTTTGTGAATAAAAATTGTTGTCATTTTAAATGTTTCATTGAATTATATTTCTTGCCTTGAATGTTTGTCAAGATCTCCTGCTTATCGCTTTGCGAGTTGTTGTTTCAGTCGTACATGAACATCGCATGCGGGAGTTTTCAAAATGCTGTGTGTATCTAATAAAATTAATATGGTGTTTTAAAAGTAAAAGGATTCTGAGACCTCTTCCTACTAGTGTTCATTCAAACACTGACAGCTTG